TGATCATAAGACATGTTTGTTGTACTTAAGAAGCATCAGTCTAGTAGAAAAGACAGATAAATAAAACATGATATTATAATATACTCAGTAATCAGTCGAATAGCGTTCACTGGCTGCTTACCAAGTTTTGGACACTGTTCTAAGTGCTTTATATTAATTAATTTAGTGCAGCCTCACACAATATTATTATTGGCTGCATTTCCCAAATGGCAAAGTAAGGACCAGAGAGGTTACTTAAGTTGTTCAACCAAGGGTCACAGTGCTAAGATTAAACTCCACGAAATTTGACCCCACATTCTTTACCACCACTCCAAAGAACTATAGAAGCAGGGAAGAGAAACACATAAGCCATCCAAGAAGGGGTCAGGGAAGATGAATTATTCTACCCCAATAGTAGCTATATGCTCTCTAAGGTCTCCAGAGAATAGAAAAGCAGTTTATAGAATCTTGTGAAACTACCAAACTTAATGATACTAGAGTGTATAACTTCTAGAGTTCAAGCTCAAAAGAGTCCATTTTTCCCCAAAAATTCACCTAGATTATATTTCTGATTCAAATGATTGTTAATTTTTTCAATCTCTACCCTGTTGGGCCTCTTTAAATGCCAAAATCTCATTATGTGCTTCTTAGATTTTTATCAAGAGAACTATACAGTTGATGGTGAAGCTTCTGACATATTAGGGGTCTTCTTTTTCTGAGCTCTCAGCATTTTATGTTATATAATACCTTCTGAAGACCATTATAAAACCTCCTGGCTGGATTTATACACTGCTAATCGATTATATGTCAATCCCAATGTCCTGTATGCAATATGATGAAACTGGAATTATGTTTCTCATTCGAATTATTTTAACTTTCTCAACACCCACCTAATTAGGTTCCTTCCATCCTCGTAACTATCATGGACATTGAGTTGGCAAACAAAAAAGGAAAGTTGTAAGAAGTCACAGCCCTAATGATCTTCTTATAAAACCAAATCATAAAGTGGAGAAAAAATCTATCAGGAGTGTAGAATCCCGAAAGATGGCTTCATTCTTAGAGGAGGAATCCAGGATGAGAGATCTGTGTTAGTAAGGATAGCATTTGCCTGCATGTCACAGAACCCAGCTAGAATGACCTAGGCAAGTAAAGGGTGGGTTTTCGGTGACATAACCAGATCCCAGGCACCTATTTTCTTATTCTGCTGTTGTGTTTGCAAAAGTTCTGGTATATGCTCAAGTTTCAAGATCTATTCCAGATAGCAAGAAGGCAAAGGACAAGAGGTAAACAGAAGAAGCTAATTGAATCTGTCCCTTTTGAAAAACTTTTTCCAGAATTCACATGCTTGAGCCTCCATTTAAATCTCGTTGGCCGGGTTTGGGTCACATGGTCTTCACTAGCTGCAAGAGACTCATAGCAGGTCAGCCTATGACCTCAGCACATATCACCCCAGACAAAGCAGGGTTTTAATAGCAAGAAAAGGAAAGAGCATGCACATTCGGTTGGCACATTATCTATTATTACAAGAACAATGATGGCTGCATTCTCCTAAAGTTTCCTAATGTAAAAAACAATAAAAGAGCAGAGAAAGGGCAGGTGAAGTAGATTACAAGATCCCAGGAAATATAGAGAATTGAATAAAGCTGAGCCCAATGTCACTTAAGTACTTCCCTTTTGTGCTCCTTAACAGAGAGAACCCCTGGGCCCAAGTCTCATTGTATGAGTACGAGTTAGACTTGGGGAAGGCAGCGAAGAAATAAAACATTACCAGCTAAAGCACCAAACTGGGAAACACCATTTTGTTTGGTGAATTACGACTCATTCCCTATTTCCAGAGATCAAATTGTAAGGTAAACAATACGGGGCAGGTAATTGAAATCAGATCACGGAAGGCTTGTAGGCGTGCTTTAAAACTGTGTTAATCTGGCATAAGCTGAGAATCATCTGAGGTGTCTTAAGCCAGGGAGAGAGAGTTCAGACTTAAATTTTAGGTAACTCATCTGTAGTGACCATGTATAGGATGGAATCAAGTAGATAAAAAGGAAGGGTTAGAAACAAGGTAAGAGGTGACCATGTTAATACAATCAGAAGATGTTGAGGCCCTGATCTGGTAGAGACATGGAGAATTGCACAAATATGAAGAATTACCTCCTCTAAGTATCACGGGAGACGTTTTGGAGGAAGTAGCCTTTTATAACTGAAAATAAACTTTATTTTGTGTCTACAGTGTATATCTAAACAGTCTGAGGCATCCTTTCTTCATATATTTTGTAGAAAATTATGGAATATAAGTTAATTAATTATAAATTCTTAAATAACTTTTTCTACTATTCATAAGTAAAATGTTTTGAAAAGGATTTTGGCAAAGCCTGAAAATGTGAAATAATACTCAAAACCTAAAGGTAGGAAAGGGCTATATCAAGTTACTTATATCCTCAGAATCCATTGTTCTCCAATTCTGGTGAGTATCCAGAGAGCTGGGTAAAAATACGGATGCAGACACCCACTTCAGATTTACTAAATCAGCATCTCCACGGTGGAACTTGGGGATGGGTATTTATAATTAACTCCACAGGATATGCTAACCTACCCTGGTTTTCATCAGCAGCATGATGAACCTACCGGCATAATATGGACTCCAACTTTAGACATATTGACAAGAAAGAGAGCATGGGATCTGAGAATGTGCAATTAAGAAGCAAGAGACAGAAGTGCAGGCAGAAAGGCTCATATAGAAGGTCAGGACCATGGAATTTGGCTGCAGAGCATGGTAGGACTTTAGCAGCAACTAGGTAGGAAAGTGGAAAGAGCAGAGGAAGGACTGTGACAGGGAGACTAACAGGGATCCAAGCACGGTCACTTTTGGGAGTGGGAGGGCGCTAGATGGCAACAGACAAAATCAGAACATCCAAAAGGATATGACAAACCTGGGCTCTCAACTTTCCAGGGAATTTCATAGCTATGCTTTTGTTGATAAATCAAGACAAATGTCTTTCTATGTAAAGTAACATATATATGCTAACTATTTGTTGGTGAAAATACAGAGTTTACATTGGTCAACAAGCAGAAGAAATTGCATCTCTCTCTCCCTTAGAATAGACCAAAAGAATATCTGAACAGTTCTGATGAGAAAACTGTGAATCCCTCTGATTCCATGTTATTAGGAAGGTCCTCAACATGACAGACACCTTACCGCTTTTGCTCCTTAGAGATCACTGAGCAAATGCCTGGTGGCTTTGGCACTGTTCCCCCACTGTGTCTGTGACATCACCCATTTATTTTGTGAACATCCTACAGACACGTTTTATGAAATGGGCCAGAGGAAAGGACATCGTAGGGGAAAGGAGAAGGGCGGGAGAAAGGGGAAGGTAGATAGTCCCGTGTGATGAACTTTTCTAACAGCACTTCTCACTTTTCTCTGGGAAAAGTACAAGTGGCTGACTTTTAACAACCAGCTTCAGCTTGTCGGGGTACCATGGTCACCCCCATGCATCCTACTGCCTTCTGAGGCAGGGTGCATAATTTGCAAAGACTTCTGTGTTTGAGGTCTTTTTCCTAATATCCTTCTGAGTCAGAACAAGCAGTTTGCATTTGTGTTGACAAGTCGAGGTGAGCTCTTCTGCTTTGGATTACTCAAAACCGTAATTGGCAAGGAAGTCTCGAAGAGGCGGTGAGTAGATGTGTGGGGCATCTGTGTCATCACAGCCCTCCCGTCCCTCCCAATCCTTCCTGACAGAGCAGCAGCAGACAGCTTGAAGCCATTCTGCATGACCAGAGGTGGTCTGAACCATGAACCTGACTAACCCAGCTCTAATATCTCTCCTCATATCTTTAAAAAAAAGATTTTAATTCAGGGGGGTACATGTGCATATTTGTTCCATGGGCATATTGCATCATGGAGGAGATCAGGCTTCTAATGTACCCATAATCCAAATATTGAATGTTGTACCCGAGAGTTAATTTTGCAACACTTACTCCCTTCCCACCCCACCCCTCCTCACTTTGGGAGTCTATTGTTTCCGTCTTTATGTCCATGGGTACCCATTGTGTAGTGCCCACTTATAAATGAGAGCATGTGATATTTGACTGTCTGCATCTGGATTAGTCCACTTAGGATAATGGCCTCCAGCTCCATCCATGTTGCTGCAAAGGAAATGATTTCATGCTTTTTCATGGCTGCATGGTATTCTGTGGTGTGTGTGTGTGTGTGTGTGTGTGTGTGTGTGTATACGTGTGTGTGTATATATATATACCATATATATTAGATAAAGAAAATACAGTATATATATGTGTGTGTATATATATACGTGTGTGTATATATGTGTGTATATGTGTGTATATATGTGTATGTACATATACGTGTGTGTGTATATATGTGTGTATATATACGTGTGTATATATACATACATATGTGTGTATACATATATGTGTGTGTATATATACACACATATATACACGCACATATATACACACACGTATATATACACACACATATACACACACACATATATAAACACACATATATATACACACACCATAGAATATACACACATATACACACACACATATACACACATATATATATACACACACCATAGAATATACACACATACACACACACACATATATACACACACATATATAAATATGCTGTATTTTCTTTATCTAATCAACCATTTGACATTTAGTTCAGTTCCATGACTTTGCCACTGTGAATAGTGCTGTAATGAACATATGTGTACAGGTGTCTTTCTTATATAATGGTTTCTTTTCCTTTGGGTAGATACTCAGTAGTGGGATTGTTGGGTTAAATGGTAGTTCTATTTTTTGTTCTTTGAAATATCTCCATACTGTTTTCCATTGAGGTTGCACTAATTTACATTCCCAGCAGCAGTGTATAAGCATCCCTTTTCTCTACAACCATCCCAACATCTGTTGTTTTTTGACTTTTTAATAATAGACATTCTGAGTGGTGTAAGATGATATCTCAGTGTGGTTTTCCTTTGATCTCTTGTGCACAGGTTCTATGAACACAGGCGAAGTTCTGTGGTGCTGAACTTACCTGGACTTGAGGTGTTCCCCGGGGACCTTCTGGTGTCAGATGGAGCTGCTGACTACCTATGCCACCCACTTCTGCTGCTGAATTCAGGTTCTGTTCATTCAGCATACTTTCATTCCATGCCCACTGTGGAACAGATACTGCCAGAACCCGGGGAAATTTTCAAAATATTGTATAATTAGTAGAATATATGCCCTGACCAGTTAGAATCAGCTTCACCAATTACAACAGGCACCAGCTGTTGCTGGAATTACTGGAACTAGCTAAGTACCAGCCTTGGTGTTGGACCAGGCGTCCCCAAACTTTTTACACAGGGGGCCAGTTCACTGTCCCTCAGACCCTTGGAGGGCCGTCACATACTGTGCTCCTCTCACTGACCACCAGTGAAAGAGGTGCCCCTTCCTGAAGTGCGGCGGGGGGCCGGATAAATGGCCTCAGGGGGCCGCATGCGGCCCTCGGGCCGTAGTTTGGGGACGCCTGTGTTGGACATTCCATTTACAGAGATGAATAAGGTATGGTTCTCTCCTTAAGATGTCTTCTGGCCAAATGTCTTATCCCAGGCCCAGGACTTGAGACAGGTGCAGCATGTTAGATCAGAGTGCCCTCTCCAGGCTGGTGAGTAGCCTCCCCATTATTGCTGTCATGTGCATCTCCCATTCCATTCCCAGGCTTCAGCCTCACACTGATATCTTCCAACCAGGGTGCTACCACGGGGAGGCAAAGGTGCTGGTGGCAGATGAGTGTCTGATAGAGAAGAGGCTTTAGGGATAAAGCTCCTGCATCTTCAACTCATTTGTGAAATAAAGGAACAATTAGGTGTTCAGGGTGTTTTTTTCTAGATTCTGAGGATAGGTCAATCAAATCCTTTGAGAGCTAAGAGGAGACTTAAAGATTATCCATCTTTTTAAACTGGTTTAGTTCTTAGCAGAGTCCTTTTTGCAACAGAATCCTTACTTGGAAACCCGATGAATAAAACAAATCCAGGTGAAGCTACAATGTTTGCAGCTGGGATGAGCCCCAAAGACTCACCTCCAAGGCATCCCCAGGAGCCTTGGACACCCGGCAAAACAGTTTGAAAACCACCAGGGTCATCCCTCAATCACACATGTGAAAGTGAGACCCAGAAAGGAGAAGTGGCATAGTGGTGGAGTCAGCTGGTTTGTGCAGAGAAATGGAATCGAGGCTCCTGGCTGCGAGTCGGTGCCCTCTCTACCAGCCTGCAGCTGTCATCATCTGTCATCTATTGTAGGGGCAGCTGCAATCTCCTGTATGGGGAGCCCAGGACCACCAGTGAATAAGTCATACATGTTTATAGCTCTTTATTTTTACACACCCTTCCAAGCCTACTTACTGTCTTATATGATGCAGTAGTTCAGCTGAACAAACCAAGAGGGGTCTGCTTGGGGACATGCCCCTAGAAATCAGAGCTAGTTCAAAACACAATGTGACTTTAAAAGAGGTTAGTGTGTTTTATGAGGCTTTAGAATGCTCTCAGTTAGTTAACAACTAGAACAGGGGTTCCCAAAGGCTGTCTCGGACCAGCAGCTTCGCCTGAGTTGTTAGAATTGCTAGAACTGCAGATTCCAGGCTCTCCACCCCACAGACTTTCTGAATCAGAAACTCTGGGGGTGAAGTCCAGCAGTCTGTTAGTCTGGTTTTTTTGGTGGTGGTGGTGGTGGTGGTGGGTTTTTATTTATTTATTTATTTAGTGAGACAGAGTCTTACTCTGTACTCACCACCACACCTGGCTAATTTTTCTGTATTTTTAGTAGAGATGGGGTTTTACCACGTTGGCCAGGCTGGTCTAGAACACCTGACGTTAGGTAATCCACCCTCCTCGACCTCCCAAAGTGCTGGGATTACAGGCGTGAAACACGATGCCCGGCCAGCAGTCTGCTTTGTTTTGTTGTTGTTGTTGTTTTTCATGAAGTTAGATGAACTCCAACTTCATCTAACTGTTTTGTTTATTATTATTTTTTTTTTTTTTTTTGAGACAAAGTCTCGCTCTGTCACCCAGGCTGGAATGCAGTGGCCCAATCTCCACTCATTACAAGCTCTGCCTCCCAGGTTCAAGCTAGTCTCCTGCCTCAGCCTCCTTAGTAGCTGGGACTACAGGTGTGTGCCACCACACCCAGATAATTTTTGTAGTTTTAGTGGAGATGGGGTTTTGCCATGTTGGCCAGGCTGGCCTCAAACGCCTGACCTCAGGTGATCCACCCGCCTCGGCCTCCCAAAGTGCTGGGATTACAGGTGCGAGGCACCATGCCTGGCCTAGCAGTTTGTTTTTTAACAAGCTCTGTAGGTGATTCTGATGCCAGCTCCAGTTTGAGAACCACATGCTAAGGAATGAGGTCATCATTGCTTCTACAGCTCACTAGCTGTTTTGTTGTGTGCCTAGCATCCTGGTAGATACCACACAGCAAAAGATAAGCAGCATCCTCCCTTATACCCCTCGATGCCCTCTTCTCAAGGAGTTTAGGATAGAGGCCTCATGTTCCCAAGGCATGATCTAAAGCAGTGCTGCTCACACTTTACTATGCATATGAGTCACCTGCAGATGTTGAAATAAAGATTCTGGTTCAGCAAAGTTGTCTATTTAAGGCAGATAATGAAAGATTGTGAATTCAATAAAGACTCATAAATCTTGTGAATATTTACAAAGCTTTCTCAAGGCTCCAAAGCTAGAAAAGCACAGGAGAGAAACTGGCCAAGGACCAGGGACCTCAATTATTGCAGTTCAAATTGGATGTAGTAATTTACCACCAGGCATGTGAGAGCTAAGTGTGGTGAAGCTGATTTGTGCCTAAGGGAGAGTCCACCTAATCTCCCTTTTGCAAAGATCAATAAGGTGGTCAAAATGAATGAGAGGATAATCTGTTGGGCAGGTGGCTCCCAAGGTTACCGTGGGAAGGTGCCTTAAGCACATCCTTTGCAGTAAATGCTGCTTAGATCATTGCTTCCCTTTGAGTGAATTATTATGCACACTCTCTTGGGGGATCTGATAGAAAGAGAGATGGGCATGTAAGACATCCGTTTTGCATACTGAATGGTCAGAACATGCCACCCACACCTAAGAGACAATTTTCAGCTTTTTCTAGGTAGCATTACAACTTTAGACAAACAGCATAAAAATCAAAAGGCTAGAATCCAGTCAAATCTCTTTCCTTCCTGGTCTTCAAAAGAATAAGGGATTGAATAATGGCTTTCTTTTAAACTCAAAGCAACTCCTGGAAGCCCCAACATAAAAATGCATGACTTTGGGGGGGTGGGGTTTGAGACGAAGTCTCACTCTGTTGCCTAAGCTGGAGTGCAGCGGCACGATCTCGGCTCACTGCAACCTCCCCCTCCCAGGTTCAAGAGATTCTCCTGCCTCAGCCTCTCCAGTAGCTGGGATTATAGGCACATGCCACCACGCCTGGCTAATTTTTGTTTTTTTTAGAGATTTTTTTAGTAGAGATTGGGTTTCACTATGTTGGCCAGGCTGGTCTTGAACTCCTGACCTCTGATCTGCCCACCTCAACCTCCCAAAGTACTGGGATTACAGGCGTGAGCCACTGCACCCAGTCGGTGATGTTTTAATGTTCCCTATTTTCAGAGTCTTCATTTAACCACATCTGGGGATTATGAGTTAATGTAGTTTCCAAGTCTCCAATTTGCTCGGGCTATTAAAGTTTGTATGTGATGGGATGATTCTGGTAAGACAGTGTAAAATGAAGGGCCTATCCTTTTAGCCCCAAAGTGCTGTGGCTCTCTGTCTTAAATACATTACTCAACATCTTTAGTAAAGTTTATAAATTTCTCCTCAAGTGGTGAGGAAAAAATGTTTAAATAATTAACAGTAAAGAAACAGGGCAATACCACCTTAAGGCAGCAACAGAATACCAACTTCTCGGTTGCAACATTGCTTCATTCACTTGTCTGTAAAAATGTAAATATTCATTTTGTGCATTCTCAAGAGAAAGAGAATTAAAGCAGGATGAATCCTGTTTGGCTAATTTTCAAAAAGCAGGTTTTGTAAAGCAGTGCAGTGATCTGTCACTAGTTACTATAAGTACTTGTAATAATAGATTGTCTTTAATTTCACCCAGAATCCAAAAAGCCAAGATGGCCTTTCTCCAAAAGAGGAGTGGTAAGTGTTGCGAATTGCCATTTTTGTTTTAATTAAGCCTCCTGTAGCTAAGAAAGTAAGAAATGTCTGAAGAGCCCCTTCATTCTGCTTTATCTTTGCATAAAAGCAGATGGCACGTGAAATATAAATGATATCATCACATCCGTAGTATTGGCTACAGAACATGCCAAATGGTGCCAATTTGTGCAGCGAAACAGTGCTAATTGCCAGTGGTTAATTAGCTCTGAAAAAAAGCACAAAGCAATCCTAATATAGTGATGCTTTACAACACTAAATTTATAACTTGCTGCTTAGAAAGCAGCTCACTCGTTGAAGCAAACTTGCACAAATGTATGCCCCAGTTTGCAGTTCATGCCGTGTATATTGGGAACATTGAAAAATGAATGAGATCTTACAGAAACAGATTCCATAAATACACTTCTATTTCTGGGAAGGCCAATGGGATTAGTCCTAGTAGGTTTAAATTCATTCTTGGTGCCATCAATAATTGACGAGTTATCTATCTCAATCAGTGGTCCCTAAGACTTTACTGTCTAGGACAAGGGTGACCACAGTCAAGCCATTCCTTCTGGCACACTGTGGAAAGAGGGAGGGAATGTTCATGATGTCAGCATGACTCCTCCTCTTTTCTAGGGGAAAGGAAGGGACTGATCTGTGTTCTCCCAGCAGTATCACTTGCAGTACCTACATACCATGATCAGCAGCAGCAAGCAGCAGGGCCTTATGGACGGTTACTATGTCTCATTCTGTTAAAAATCTGCCCATATGGCCTTTCCAATCAGTTTGGCATCAGCTGCTGACATCTGCAGTGGTTCTATGAACACACACACCTTGCTATTTTTTTAAGTCCCATCGCTAAATAAAAAGCCCTCTGAGGTTCCATTCCAGCTACTTCACTTACTGCCCTATGACCTTGGCCAAATGGATTACTCTTCCCTCCGCTCATATCTTCCCTATAAAAGACAGAAGAGCAGTCCCAGCCTCACAGCGTGGTTGTAATGAGTGCCTTATGATGCATATGGAGCCTACCCCAGAGCAGGGCGCACGCAGACACTCAGTCAATCTTGGCCATTATCACCAGTAGTAGCATCTTTAATTAGGGTTTGGAAAACTACTTATTCTCATAGCCAAGTGGATGATTGACTTTCAGTTTTTTCCCCAAAAATAAAACATTTATATGAAGCATACTCTAAACATCACAAGCTACAAATCATAAATTGTTAGTAAAATTGTTAACACCATTGCCACCAGGGCTGTTGCTCATCAGTCATTTAGAGACGTGCTGTGTCCATTTTTCTGACAGATCTGAGACAAGGATTATGATGCAGCCCCTCCTGAGCTCTTTCCTCAAATAAACAGAGGCAGAGCTGGTCACTACCAATCACATCTGAGGTCTCAGGAGAAGGGGCATCTCCCCGCCCCCCAGCCCTCCCAAGGGCTTATCTAGGACAGGAAAACTCTCAGGCCCACCTGAGAGATAGAGTATGCTTTTGGAAGGGAAGAACTTGGCTAAGGAAGGGACACTCCTACAAGGTGTTAGGATCAGTCCATGCTTTTCCCCATAAAGAGGCAACTTGTTCTACACACATGTGTTAAGCAACTGTGCCAAGTACTGGGACAGATATCTAAGATGCCAAGATGTCCCTTATCAGCTCACAATTGAGAAAATGGAACTGAGAAGTAAACTGTGGGTAGTGGGAGAAACATGCTAAATGGTTAGCTCTGTGTTGGAGGGAGGGAGAGCGGCAATGATGGAGACACACAAAGAAAGAATAATTAGTGGATGTTTTCAGCAATGAAGAGAAGGTCATTTCTAGAAGCTTCACTTTCACAAGAACACAATGTCTTGTTTTCTTAAAATTAACATCTTTCTTTTATCCTCTTAGCTTTATTTATCAGATAATTCATACCTCTATAAATGGTAATATATAACAATGTATATCAATATACATCAATATAGCAAACACACTTCTATGTTGTGATCTGTTTTTCCATAATTCATCTCTCTATAAATGGTAATTCACATCAATATAACAAACACACTTCTGTGTTATGATGTGTTTTTCCAATCTATTACAGATTTGTCCTTTTCCTTCTTACTTCCTTTCCTCCCAGCTATCAATATAATATTAGTAATAAAAGCTGACGCATCTATAATGTTTAGAACATTACCAGGCACTGTTACTGTTTGCATGTATTCTTGTTTATGTATGTCAGTTAACACATGTGAACTCACAAATTCTACAACAATACAACAAGGTAAGTAACATTATTACTTCTCATTTTGAAAATGGGGAAATGGATTCAGAGAGGTTGACTAGTTTGTCTGAGGACACACAGCTCATAAGCTATGGAGCATCCAGCAGTTCCAGGCAGTCTGGCTTTGAGTTTGTTCTAGCCCTGATGTGGCCCTGCTCCTTCAACTGTGGGAGTCCCCATCACCAGACCTGAAAAATCCTTCCTCCATTCTCTCATTAGAGCTCTCATAGATCTTGCCTGTTCTCACTGATTTGTCAACCCCTCCAAAAGTGTGTGTATTCAGTCTTAACCTTCAGTTTTGCTCCAGTTCCATATGACCAGTGACTACTGCATGTCTTCATGCCACCTACCTCTTAGTTACTAAGTTTGAGACTCCAGAATTAACCTTGGCTTCTCACTTTTCTTTATCCTCTCGAATAACCTGCAAATGCTTGCCATCGCCTCTCCTAACCACTGCTACCACAATGGAGGCAAGAAGGCACTAAATGGGTGTGTCATTTTCAAGAGTTAATGTGACCACTGGGAGGATGGTCTCCTCTCTTCTCACTGGAATACCCACCCAGCCATTTGGCCAGGAGGCTAGTCAAACCCGTAGAAAGCCATGGTGAGCGCCCTTCAAAACACAGGGCTGGCACCCACTTTCCCACAACACCAATGCTGCTTCCATTGTCTCAGCCTCTTTCTTTTCCAACTGGCGGCTGATTTTTTATTTCCACAACATGCAGTCGCTATGGTTTCAGACATCAACAAAAGGCATATGTCCCAATTGCAGTAGGAGGTCTTTAACTGGTTCCAAAATTCCCTTGCTGCTGTGGAGGCTAATGAGTCTACAATAGGTTTCCTCTTTCAGTGCCATAACCCTACCAGAGAAACCAGTCACAGCCCATTAGCGCATTCTAAAACTGTGATAGGGTCTCTTTTCAGACACTGCAGGGAGCCCCTACCTGCAACAGCAGATAACCTGTGCCTTCTCTTGCTCATGAAAATAACGTTGATTAACTTTCACCAAACTGTTTAGATCCACGCCAATATCACGCACCCTGAGGCAACAGAACAAGTCAAAAAATTGTTTGTGACAAACATTCATTTGAAATGCAGCCAAGCTGACTTCTAAAAGCCTTGCGCATTGTTATTCGATAGCTTCTTCCTGCTTTGGCTGGTAAAATAAACTCTTTAAGTGGGCAATTCATGACGTTGCAATAGAACAGTGAATGAACCAAAAAGAAAATGCTCACAATGTAAGTAAAAAGCAAGTTGCAAAAGGATATGTAAATATGATACATTATACAGTTTAAAAATTAATTATGAATATGATCAGGAGAATATTTCCAATGGAAATATGAGGGTGAAGACACATTTCATGGTGTTTTTTTTGTTTGTTTCTCAAATATTCTACAGTAAACATATATTATCTTAACAATCTGATTTTTTAAACAAATATTATTAAGAAAAGATGACTATAACAAAAATAAGTGGGTGATTCCATTCTAAGGAAACTAGTGTTTCCAGCATATTTTCGTATTCTTTAGCAGATAATTATTGTTTGGGGCAAGTCGCTTTAACACTGGGCTTTATTTTATCATCTGCTAAATTAAGGGTTGAACCAATATGTCTGAAGTACCATCTGATGTTAATTAAGTCTTAGGGTCCAGAGTTGGGAAAAGTTAAAACTGTGAAGGCTATGTCACCCCACTGGGGAGGCATGATAAGACTGTTGGCTATATGACCATTCTGTGCCTTGGATTTTTCTTTATTTGTAAAATGAGAGGTTTGAACCAGATAGGCTCACAGGCCTGTATCCTCCAACTCTGACATTCTGTGGTTCTGTGGCTCCTACCAGAGCTCAGAAATAGCTTTGGAACTGTTAGTGGCTTAACAACAAAATATGCCATCTCTTATCGTGAATGTTAGGGAATGGACAAAAGATGCCGAGGCTACCAAAGTCGTGTCATTAAGGAATTTGTGTTTGAAAATCGTGTTTCTAACCATCTTTAAGCAGGGAAAAGACAAACACAAGTACATATCCGATCTGGAAAACTGCCTGTCCTCTGTGAAAATTACCAGCTTCAGGGGCTACGAGTTCTACAGTCTTAAGGTATCTTGCAAACTGTTTACTGTGGGGTATGGCTTTTTCTTTTTGTTTTTTGTCAGGGTGGGGAGGGGAGGGTCAGTATTTTAAGCTGCCAGATTGCTGCCTTGTTTATAGTAAGAGCAAAGCGCAAGAGAGGAACCCAGGGCTGACCAGGGCCTGCTCTGCTCAAACACACTGAAAGCGAGGGAAAGTAATTTTATCTTAAATAAGGTAACAAATGTGAGAGCACTTCATAGGCCGGGAAGCCTCTATAAATGTTAAAAGTGGTGTTAGTACTCTTCATCTCTCTGGGCCTCAATTTCCTCACTGGTAATGTCAAGTTGCCGTTAAGTTGTTTTTGATAAGACAGTTTCTAAAGGTCTCTTTGAGTTTAAAGCTCTCACTTCATGATTCTTCAGTCATTAATTTCAACAAGTTTTGCCTGTGGAACCTGGAATCAAACTTATCAGTTTTGGGTTTGGGGTTCTTTGAGATTTTTTTGGCAGTAAACTGAAAAAGACTCATGATATTCTCAAGCATAATTCAAAGCACCATGAATCTGAATTTCTTTGAATTTTAAACTAGAAATAATGCACGTCGTGCATTTCATGCTGTGCATTAGAAGAAATTGGCATCCCAGACCCCCACAGAGAGAAGCTGTGGTTTGGGTCACTTGAGGAGTCCCTGCCAAGAGGGATGCCCAGTGCCTGAAGCAGAAATCATGATTTCGGGAGTTGCTTGGTCCTTTGGAAGTGCAAGCCATAGCAAATAGCCAGCAGGTCAGTCCACTGAGGTGGAAACGTTTTGTTCTCTCTTTTTCCTCATGTACAGGATAAGACCTGGGATGAAGTCATGGAAACACATCACAAACTCCCTACTGATCAATTAGACTTGAGAAAGCAGCAAGAGGCCATGTGGGAACTCTTCACAAGTGAATGCACCTATTTTTTGGACCATTTATTAGTTCTTAAAATGGTAATACCAGGCTTCATTTTTATAGTAGATGGAAAATATTAATTCGGTTTTTGGGCACTGGTTTTCCTCTTCTGAAAGAAATAAAGAAAAGAAAAGAGAGGCAGAGAAAGAAAGAGAAAGAAAGAAAGAAAGAAAGAAAGAAAGAAAGAAAGAGAAAGAAAGAAAAGAAAAAGAGAAGAAAGAAAGAGAAAGAAAAAAGAAAGAAAGAAAGAGAGGAAGGAAGGAAAGAAGGGGGAGGGAGGGAGAGAGAGAAAGGAAAGGAAAGGAAGAGAGAGGAGGGAAAGGGGGGAGAGGCTTTTTCCTCCTCTTTCAGGGAATAGTGAAAATTTTTATTTATCATTTATTTTTGTTTTATCTATTACTTGACTGTCTGTTTATACTTTCCTTAAACATTGGCTGCGATCTTCTAAGTGAACTAGCCTAGTGTCCCATCTGATGTTGAATCAATCTCTTCTGCCTTGTCTCACCAGTTTGCACACTTCTGAGCCAGGGAGCTCGCTCCCTTCTCAGGCAGCCCATTTCATCTTTGTTTAAGTTCCTTCTTGGAGCTCTTGCTCCCTTGTGAACAGCGCCAGCTGAATGCTTTCTGTCAGCTGCAGGGCCACCATTGCAGATTTCTGGGGCTACCATCCACATGCAAGTTAGTACTGTTGAAACACATGGTATATTCATGATGTCTCTCTTGTAAATAGCACCCCTATGGTTGCACACTGCTGCAGGCCTGATCCATTAAGGCTCAGAACAGAGAATTTCTTCTAGAAGAACAATAGGTCAAGGAAGAGAACCATAGAGCAGCTTCCTGCCAGGACCACAGGGGAGGATGGGCCACACAGCTCCCAAGATTGCCTCTGCCCACAGCACTTTTGCATCCTGGTGACCATCTTACACGGTTAAAAGGCACTGTGCTGGCAGACCTGAGTTCAAGGCCTGGCTGTGCCTCTGATCTGCCTTGTGACCTTAGGAAAGTCTAGTCCTTCATATCCTAAACCGGGGTCGGCAAATCTTTTCTGCAAAGGTGCAGATAGTGAATATTTTGGGCTTTTCAGTCTATACAGTTTTTGTTGCAACCATCGAACTCTGCCATTGCAGTGCAAAAGCAGCCTAAAGGAATGTGTCACCCAAAAAAACATCATTTACCAAAACAGGTGGCAAGCCCAGAGTTTGACAATCCCTGTCCTAAGCTATAAAAGAGAAATGGCAGTACCATCTCTGGCTATCTCCCAAGACCATTTTGATGATCAAATTCGTTTTCTTTGAAATCTGTCAGGTGCTATACAAATGTCAGTTATTTTCTGTAAGCAATACTTTTTTTGCCAATCACAGTGCTAAATTCTTAATTGAGCAAAATGTAAACCACAAAGACACTCCAGGAGAAAACTGAAATTTAGAGACAATATCAGGATGCTAACATGAGCATATCATAGAAAACTAGCTTAAATAATACTATATTTTATTAGTCCATGTGACTGCAAAGTTTAGAGGTGGGAGAGAATTCAAGACATGTTTGATCAAGGGCTCAAAACCAAAACAACATTTCTTTCCATCTCTCACCCTGCCTTCCATGGCAATAGCCACGTCCTGTGGCTAGTTTCTCTTGTAGTCACAGCATGGCTGCTATCCTCGAGCACAATGGTCAGAAAGAGAGAGATCTTCTTAGCATTCATAGCAAAAGTCTTGAGATTTATTCTGATTGGACCAGCTTAGATCACGTGCCCACCGCTGAGCCAAATACTCTAGCTCCGTAATGAAAGAATGTGCCAATTGGCTTAAGGCAGTCCGGCCCACCCCTGGGAGAGAGGTCAGCTTGCCACATGGCACATGTGCAGCCTAGGGGGAAGAGTAGACATTGAGGTGAAAACCAGACTGTTTTTCGGGAAGGGGAGTATCAAAGGCCGTGGTAACAATACATGTTCACAGCAGAGCACGAAGCCCCTGAGCTATGCCACCTTCCTTGTCCCAAGCGACAGCACAGGGCTTTCTATCCCACTGTAAGCTGTCCAGGCTTTTCAAACTAACATTTCCTGTTTAAGAAAAGGCCAGTTTGAGCTCACTGTCAAATATCTCAGTGTATTTTAAGTATATATGTACCTTCCTTTCACACAATCAATCAATATGTTTTCCAAAAGTGCTTATGAATTAAAAATTGGTAGCGCATATAATAAATATCGGTGGTTTTTAAAAATAGCAAAATTTCTGTAAAGCAAAGAATCTTATAGCAAAAGTCATGTTTCTTCCAAATTGACCCTATTTTTCTGTAGTCATGAGTTCTGTTTCTTACAATCATCTGTCTCAAATGCTTGGATCTTGACAGACTTCCAGACAACCAATACTCCATGGATGCTAAAAGGTCTAAGTGTTTCTCGACAGGTGGTCTCTAGACCAGCAGCATCAGAGTCCGCTGGGGACTTGGTGGAAATGCACATTCTCAGGCCCCATCACCAATGAGGTTGAGGCCCAGCAAGCTCTGGTGTAATGAAGCTTCCAGGGGATCTGATGCAAGTTCAAGAACCTCTCACTACACTAATGAAATAATACAGGAGAGGGAATTGCAGAAGGTTATCTATCTAAAGCCCAGACTTTTGACCCCGAAAATTCTTGAACTAATTTGTCCTTTTGGCCCTTTGAATGCTTTCCCTCCTACGTATACAAAGTATTTCTTTTTCAATAAATTGATCTCTCTTCAGTTTCTGGAAGGAAGGGCAGGCTATCTGTGAGTGAGGGTTGAAGTTCTTCTTTCTTGACTTGTTATGTAGTGCTCCTGTTTGTGAAATCATCAAATTAAGTAAAAATAACAACAACAAAAATTCCTTTAATGTTTTCATCTATGTGTAATGCCTCTAAGCAAATCCCAACCTTTTACCCGTTAGTGAGATGAACTCACTAAATCTCTGTTTTTAATAGACATTTAAAATATACTGAAAGTAAAGTACATTTGAGTCTTTTGCAGAAGAAAGAGTACATGAGAACACACCATGAATATCATTTTGCTCTCAAGTTAGTAGTGTTGGCAAGAAGAGAACCTTTGGGATTTCTCTGGCACTAGAAGCAGAGGAAGCCCATTTGGACAGATTATGTTCAATAGGAAAGTTGTTAGAATTCACATAAGCAACCACAACTTTCATACTGAAAAGCTCATTTCCAATATGTTCTGTGAAGCTTACATGTCATCATTCATATTGAGTATAACATTTAAACCTTGAGAGTGCTGATTTCTACATTGTTTTGTAAAGTTATACCCAGGAAATTTATGTTTAATATTCTTGCAAAAGGCATGTTTCAACATTTAAAAACAGAAATTAATGTCATATATTTTTTATTTCAAAGATCTTTATGAATACATTAAAATACCTGCAAACTCATGAATATCTCCTAGATGTGGATTTATGGAGACTCTTTGCAAACCTGGAGGAGTTAACTCAGGTAAGCCAAGTAGGAAAATGTTAGTAGGTGTATTTTAACATTCACTAGAGGACCATGAAAATTCATGTTTGGTCTATTCTTACGGTTTGTATTCCATAATACATCTCCATATTCCATTCCCAGTTAGGACTTCAGGTTAATAAGACGGAAGTTGAAATATCCTTTCCCATAAATTGTAGATATTAGTTAACCTTCATTTACCATTTTTCCACGGCTATTTTTAAAAGTAAACACATTCCTAAGATCTCCATCATCTTCATAAATGTTTATTTTCAAATGAGTAATATCCTCTTCTCTCATACATTATAAATAAATAATATTTTTCCTCTTAAAAGGAAAGGAAAAGGGATAGCAACAAGAATTTATTTATAAGAAATATTTATAAAAAATATGTATTGGAGGGTGGGGGAAACAAATCTGTGAATTTTGCTAGGAGATAAATTTGAAATGGGAAACATCTGTAAGAATGATATTTGAAGTTCAACAAATGTTTATTCCTTAACCCTGGATGTATGCCTACTTTTGTTTTCTTTCTCTCTGGCCCTAGACAAGCCTTGGTTTTGTGAACAGTCTCTTTGGCATCGTCAAGGACTACGTAGACACGTCTGAGACTTCCTCATCACTGGATTTCATTTCTGTGCTCACGAAGGTAAATTCCTCCCAGTAGATTTCAACTTTATGAAGTAAAATCACCAACCCCCCAGGACAGTTGTTTATACCCTACTTGATTTTTCTTCTCCCTGGGAATGTTCTACCTCCACTCCTACAAAGGAACTGTCCCTTTCTCTGCCAATCAACGTTTTCAAAAATAACTTGCAGATTCAGTTTTCCCATCGTCACATCTCCTGTGTGGGTTTTATTAACACAAAATCTACTTGCATGGAAAAGCCATTTCCAAGTCTGTTTTTTAAATGACTTCAATTTAGAGCAATATTCATGGTAATAGTTTAGTGTCTGCTACTTACGTGATTCAGTTGTTTTAATGAAAGTACCAGTCTCTCAGAAAGAAACAGAATAAACCTTCAAATCCGTCAACACCCTTGATCATATTTCTGTGAAATGAGGAGAAAAGAGGAAAACATGTAGTCCTGGTTTGAGAAATGCTTTTTATTTCTTTAGTAGACATTTGAACATCCTCTCCTATTTTTCTTACTTTGACATGTTTGTTTGTTTTGTTTTGTTTTGTTTTGTTTTGTTTGAGATGGAGTCTCGCTCTGTCACCCAGGCTGGAGTGCAATGGTGTAATCTTGACTCACTGCAACCTCCACCTTCTGGGTTCAAGCAATTCTCCTGCCTCAGCCTCCTGAGTAGCTGAGATTACTGGTGCGTGTCACCATGCCCAGCTAATTTTTGTATTTTTAGTAGAGACGGGATTCATGATGTTTGTCAGGCTGGTCTTCAACTCCCGACCTCATGATCCACCTGCCTCAGCCTCCCAAAGTGCTGGGATAACAGGCATGAGCCACCATCCCTGACCTACTTTGAGGTTTTTAATCTAATTCTAGTCTAATTTCATTGAGCAAGATTTGAATTTTTATACTCCGCTTTTTAAGAGAAAACATAGATTGAGACTGATTGAGAACTCACTAAGTGCTATGTGTGGAGCTGATGCCCTGTGCACAATAACGTGCAAAATTAAACAGCCTCTTGCTTTTAAGGAATTTTAGTCTAGTAGGGGAGAAGTTAATCCAATAATGACACTAATGGTTATATAATTAAAGCAAGATAAATGCTGGGGAAAAGGAGGAACATAAATATTATGAGTGTTCAACAAAGGAAACCTTTTAAGTTGGGGTGCATAGTAGGGTAGTCAGAGGTAGGAAATGCTTCCTGGGGATATGACACTTGAAAAGATACACGAAGAAGGAAGAGTTTTAACAAGGCAAAAATAAGTAGGAAGGTCCTTTAGTGAACATTGAAAATGAGTTTAAATAAGAAAATCTTTGGATGTTTTTGTTTGTTGTTTTTTTTAGACAGAGTCTCACTCTGTTGCCCAGGTTGGAATGCAGTAGTGTGACTTCAGCTCCCTGCAACCTCTGCCTCCCAGGATCAAGTGATTCCTGTGCCTCAGCCTCCCAAGTAGCTGGGATTACAGGCATGCATCACCACATCTGGCTAATTTTTGTGTTTTTAGTAGAGACGAAAGTGTCACCATGTTGGTCAGGCTGGTCTCGAATTCCCAAACTCAGGTGATCTGCCTACCCCAGCCTCCCAAAGTGCTGGGATTACAGGAGCGAGCCACCACACCTGGACCAAATTTAGTTTTTAGTAAATATTCTGGAAGAAATGTCAGCTTTTCATCAAAACATGTACGTACACTTAGCACTAAAGAATGGGATACTGTTGGGCTCTTTACTAAGGGTAAACCACATACAAATAATAAACCCACATATGAATGCTCCATGCTGTTACCAATGTGCAATGATGGGTTATAACAACTTTTCCTAAATTTAAAATGTTTTCAGCCAAGTGAGAGTCAGTTGTGCCACAGTAACAAAAACCCTCAAATCTCAGTGGCTTGGTTCACTTCTCACTTAGTTCAAGGCCCAGCTATCAACATTTCCCTCCAAAATAAACTCACATCATCTTTCGTTTTTGTTTTTTTTTTTTTTTTCTTTTTTTTTTTGAGACGGAGTTTCACTCTTGTTACCCAGACGGAGTTTCACTCTTGTTATCCAATCTTGGCTCACTGCAACCTCCGCCTCCTGGGTTCAGGCAATTCTCCTGCCTCAGCCGCCTGAGTAGCTGGGATTACAGGCACGTGCCACCATGCCCAGCTAATTTTTTGTATTTTTTTAGTAGAGACGGGGTTTTACCATATTGACCAGGATGGTCTCGATCTCTCGACCTCGTGATCCACCTGCCTCGGCCTCCCAAAGTGCTGGGATTACAGGCTTGAGCCACCGCGCCCGGCCACATTATTTTTCAATTACTTCCTGCTGAAGCCAAAACTTGACACTGCTCACTATAGTGTTTTTTAATGTCCTATAACTAAATATTTTTCTAGATGTCACCCTCTCTGGCTTTGTTACTATCACTTCCGTTAGTGGTTTTACAGGCTGGGTCTGCTTTCTCTACTCACCAGCAAATACGTTTTCCTTCTCCGATTTCACCACATTGGGATCTACTGGAATTCCTTAATGCAGCCCAGTGAGTCATTATATTAATCAATAAATCTATCAATGGACACATAGGCTTAGCAACATGGTAGACACTATAGAATCCTGAAGAGAGTACTTAACAGTAACAAGCCAGGAGAATTGCTGAAGGGAAAAGAATAACCATTGTTCACAAGAAAGACACTTAACTGGGATGGTGGCATGTAGTTCAATGTGCTCAGTTGACTCATTATATGTATAAATAAATATACATAAATTAACAATTTGCCTTATTCTAGAAACAATTTAGGTGGTTCACAAATGTGTAGTCATTATAGCAAGTTTAAGACATTAAATAAGAATAATGAAGAAAGGGGAAGACAAGATAAGCATTAGATTGAATAAGATAAAATGCATGCTGCTAGATGCAGTATGCTTGGTGGGGATGTCCCAAATTTCTACATACTTAGAAAGCCAGCAAAATTAAATGCATGGACATTCTTGAGGAATATCAGATGAAAAGTTAAGTGTCCTTACTTTAATCACTTACTATCAACACAAGCTTAACATCAACCAACAGGGTCACCCAAATCAAAAGCAATATTTGTCACTGGGTGTCCTGCTGGGTGTGGGGCCTAAAGAAAGCGTAAATAGAAGTAAAGGGGTGAATCAAATCAAGACAGCCTAAATAGAATTTTAATAGGGAGAAAATCATTATTATTGAGGTGTTAGCTGTTTATTATGAGGTATTACTGAGGTGTTAGCTGTTTACCATATTTTGTCAAAAGAATGTTTATTGCTATTATATACAGTGCTACAATGAACATATGTGTGCATATGTCCTTATAGTAGAACGATTTATGAGATTACCTGTGTATTTCCATATGGTTGTAGCACCTGCTTGATCATGGCGTCTCCACCACTTTTCCCTGTTCTAGTTAGGATAAAAGTGAAAAGAAACAGAGTCTGCCAGGGGTCAATGCTCCCCTTAACTTGCATTCATCCTCTTTCTGCCCTTCCTTTCTTGCAGTATTTCCGAGGGAGTCTCTGCCAGAGCCACCAGACCTACTGCCTGAACTACTCAGCTGCTATCTTTTATCTTGAGAGCCTGAGGCAGAGAGACGACTTCGGAATTTATTTAAAAGTAAAGTATCATTTTCTTTTCCTTAGTATTTTTCCGGACGCTTTTTGGGTGTCACAGGTACTCTGGGAATTATTACATCTAAATTAAATGGGAAAGAAGGAAATGAAATGATCAACAATATGTTTTAACTACAAATCTGCTTTCCTCATAAATACATTGTCTGCTGTACACTTAGGAATATTAAATGGTGCCCATCTGGAAATATATTATCTAATATCCCTCCTGAAGTGTTGGCTGGGGCTTAAAAATGTTTTTTGTTCACTGTTTTTTTGCGGAAGAAATTGGTACATTGTAAGGAGAAAACTATAGTAAGAACCTGAGCTTTGTGACTTAGAAGTTTGGCTCTTGCAGGAGTTAGTTCCAGCATAGAAGCCTGGTGCATCTTTTTTTTTTTTTTTTTTTTTTTTTTTTTTTTGAGACGGAGTTTTCACTCTTGTTACCCAGGCTGGAGTGCAATGGCGCGATCTCGGCTCACCACAACCTCCGCCTCCTGGGTTCAGGCAATTCTCCTGCCTCAGCCTCCTGAGTAGCTGGGATTACGGGCACGCACCACCATGCCCAGCTAATTTTTTATATTTTTAGTAGAGACGAGGTTTCACCATGTTGACCAGGATGGTCTCGATCTCTCGACCTCGTGATCCACCCGCCTCGGCCTCCCAAAGTGCTGGGATTACACTGGTGCATCATTTATACTGTATTCTACATGTATGGTGCCCCCTTGATTACAGCATAAAGCACAGTGTCAATGTCGCCCCCAGAGTTGCACCAATATGGCAGTTCTGGGTCCCACAGCATTAAAAGAAGAAATTTCTGCTGGAGTCCTTCAGCATTTTCTAGTAGGCAAAGCTGAAGCCAATTTCCCCTGACTTCCCTGATTCTGTCAGTCTCTGCTTTGATATTTCTTTAGTCTGAAATGGAACGTTTTCAGTTCTGTGTCAGAGCCCTTTTGGATCATCCAGAGAAAATGGTCTAAGCCTTTCCAGAAAACCAGCTCTTCCCTGCAGCTGCAAGAGGCCCCTGCCAGAGTATGACCTCAGAGGCTTGGGAAGAAAGGCTGCCATGGTTCCCAACGACTCAAGTGTGAATCAGTGGGCTTCTGCCATAGCCTCTATGTGCCGGGAAGCCTGGGTATGCCAAGGATGAGAAAAGAGGAATAATCCTGTAGCTTCAGCCCTTTAGTGCTTTATTTGCTACTCAAACTGAAAACTGAAAGCTCATTAGATTTCCAAATGCATGAATAATCATGTTCCAAATGTTTTCCCTAGACGCTGATGGATTAGACTCAGCTAGGCCCCCAAACTGAGAGAATCCAGGTTCATTTCTCTCCCTTCCAAGCTGGGAAAGAGATTAATTCAACAAGGTCCAATCATCATTTTCAAATAACTTTGGAAAATTCTATATCCATGTATTCAAAGCCAAATGATTTTTGTCAACGGCACCAAAAACATACATTGAAGAAACAACACTCTCTTGAGTAAATAGTGCTATAAAAACGGAATATCTCGATGCAGAAGAATGAAAGTAGATCCCTATCTCTCACCATATGTAAAAATCAAATAAAAATGAATTAAAGACTCAAGTGTAAGGCCTGAAGCTATAAAACTGGTGGAAGAAAACATAGAAGAAGCACTTGAGGATATTGGTCTAGACAAATATTTTAGGGCCAAGACTTCAAAAGCATAGGCAACAAAAGCAAAAATAGACAAATACGACTGTATTGAACTAAAAGGCTTCTGCACAGCAGAGGAAATAACAGAGTAAAGAGGCAATCTGCAACATGGGAGAAAATATTTGAAAACTATTCATTCAACAGGGGACTAATACCTAGAATATACAAGGAACTTGAAGAGCAAAAAAATAAATTGAGAAAAGAATCTGAATTGACATTTCCCAAAATAAAACATACAAATGGCCAATAGGTATATGAAAAAAAAAAAGTTCAACATCACTAATCATCAAGGAAATGCAAATCAAAACCACAATGTGATATCATCCCACCCCAGTTAGAACAGCTATTACTTTAAAAGATAAAAGAAAGCAACAGATGCTGACAAGGATACAGAGAAAAGGGAACTTCCGTACACTGTTGGTGGGTATGTAAATTAGTGCAGTTGTTATAGTAAACAAAATGGAGGTTTCTCAGAAAACTAAAAATAAAACTATCATCGATCCAGCAATCCCACCACTAGGTATTTATCCAAAAGAAAGGAAATCAGTGTATCAAAAGATACCTGATCCCCATGCCTACTGCAGCACTGTTTACATAGCTAAGATATAGAATCAACCTTGTATCCATCGACAGATGATTGATAAAGAAAATGCACTACGTATACGCAATGGAATATTATTGAGCCAGAAAAAAAGGAAATCTTGTCATTTACAGATGAAACTGGAGGTCATTAAGTGAAATAAGCCAGGCACAGAAAGACAGATATTGCATGTTCTCACCCGTATGTGGGAGCTGAAAAAGTTCATCTCATGGAGATAGAGTGTAGGATGATGGTTTCCAGAGGCTGGGAAGTGGGAAGAAGGGGATGAAGAGAGGTCGGTTAATGAGTGCAAACATACAATTATAGAAGGAATAAGTTCTAGTGTCTGAAGGAATAAGTTACTCTCTCTCTCTCTATGTGTATACATAATATATATATCATATTTATATATATATATACTATATATATATATATCATGTATATATAATAACCCACTAGGGTGACTATAGTTAACAATAACTTATTGTGTTTCAAAAATAGCTAGAAGAAAAGATCTGAAATGTTCTCAACATGAAGAAATGATGTTAATAAATGTGATTATGGATATCATAAATATCCTGATTTGATCATTACACATTGTACAAATGTATCAAAATATCACATGTACCCCATAAATATGTACAATTGTGTATGAATAAAAATGTATGTAGTGTCCAAAGATATTTTGGGAAAGGTGGTAGAGGATACAGTGCTGTTATAGCACATGATGCTTTTTTTTTTTTGAGACAAGGTTTTGATTTGTTGCCCAGGCTGGAATGTAGTGGCACAATCTCAGCTCACTGCAACCTCCACCTCCCAGATTCAAGTGATTCTCCTGCCTCAGCCTTCTGAGTAGCTGGAACTACAGGCACCTGCCACCACTCCTGGCAAATTTTTTTTGTATTTTCAGTAGACTGGTTTCACAATGTTGGCCAGGCTGATCTTGAACTCCTGACCTCAAGTAATTCGCCCACCTCGGCCTTCCACAGTGCTGAGATTACAGGTGTGAGCCATCACGCCCAGCTACATGATGCTTTTATGCTGCATAATACTTTAACAGACACTTTCTCAAAAGGCTCTTAATTCTGAACACAAACCTGTGAAGTTGATTATATTGTTCTTTTGTGTCCCTGAGGCTCAGAGAGGTTAGATGACATTTGCAAGGTCACACAGCCAATAGGTGGCAAAGAAAGAACTATAGAAAGATTTTCAGACAAAAAATCCAATGCTCTTCATACCAGAATTGTTTCCAGTTCCTTAAGGCTACTTTCCATCACCATGGAACTATTAGCCTCACGAAACTAGGCAAGAGGTCAGGGAGAGACCCGCAGATAGAACTCATAACACATGATGCTGTAAACACAAGGTGACTAGTGTTTGAGCCCTTGCTATGGCCCAGACACTGCGCCACATGCTGGTGATCCATGATCGTCTTGTCTACACACTAACTGCAGATTTTTATGTTGTCCCCGTTTTTCAGGAGTTTAGACAAATTAGGCAACATGCTGAAAGATATGATTGTTCTAGGGCAGAGGTAAGATTTGAATTCAGACCTGTCTGAACCTGACGTTCAGTCTCCTACAATGTTCTGTCGTAAACAACATTCTTGGAGAATTTAAACCCATGTTGTGTTATGGGCTGCCTGAAATTGACCTATAAATGCAGTGGGATAAATTTACCTTCCATTTCACATGAGGCTAAGCTTTATGAATGCATGTACTTTATCCTCGGGCATATTCATGGGATTAGAATTCTTCCTGCTGTTTTTTAAAAATGTCTTTACTTACGTATTTATTTATTGAGACGGGGTCTGATTCTGTCACCCAGGCTAGAGTGCATGGTACAATCATGGCTCAGTGTAGCCTTAGACTCCTGGGCTCAAGTGACCCTCACACCTCAGCCTCCCACGTAGCTGAGACTACAAACATTTGCCACCACACTCAGCTAATTTTCTAATTGTTGTAGAGACAGGGTCTTGCTATGTTGCCCAGCTTGTCTCAAACTCCTAAGCTCAAGCGATCCTCCTGCTTACTATTTCAGAAACAAAATGATGTAGAGGAAGAAACTGAGAACTTCATACCAAGTCTCTTAATGTGGCTCTTCTAATAATGGCTAAGAACTCTAGCCTAATGGACTGAATGGTCGAGATGTGCCAGGCTCTGTTCTAAGCACTTTGTGTAAATTATCTCATTAAAACCTCTCACCAAGCCAATGAGGTAGTTACTCTTGTTATCTACATTTTACAGATAAGTTTTAGAAAGGGTAAGTAAATTTCCTGAGGTTTCAAGAATTCTGGTGGCCCAGTCCCAATGCTGTGCCCCACCAAGACAGATTTATTAGGACTTAAAAAAAAAACAGGGTCTCACCCTGTTACCCAGGCTGGAATTCAGTGGTGCCATCATGGCCCACTGCAGCCTCAACCTCCCAGGCTCAAGCGACAGGACATAGTTTCATTTGGGGCCCTTTAATCCTTTCACGGATTCCCTAAGCACGTTGGATATTTATTATAAAGCAAGAGTACCCTCCATGGATCTAGACTCATCAATAAAAAGTGCCTTTTATGTCCAGTCTCTCTCAATGGAAATGTTCTTTGCCTTTCCTAACGGACCTGAAAAATGAAGTCAGAAGAGAGATGAAAGGAAAACTTACAGCTTTACTTTTGTAATGTCAAGCTATTCTTTTTCTCTTTTCTGAAGTTTTCTGAAACACTAAATGCTTCTAACATCCCTGCCTGGATCCTTGTCTAAATAATTTACCATAGATGCTTTCTGCTAATTGCCATGGAGGAGCTTGGTGTTTTCACTTTGACCTGGAATACCAGTGTGTGCTGGCAGCCAGAGCTGTTCCCCACAGCAGGGCAATTTGGGGCAGTGGCCTGGGGCAGTGAGTTTTTTGGTAGGGCAGGGGCCTAACTGCTGCTGAGAAATCAGTTACAAGAACTCCCAGCCACCCAAGAGGTCCAGGACCCACAGGTAGCACTGGAACACTGCTGCCTATGAGTCAACATGGAAATCAGCCGCTAGAGAATAGCCCTGCTCCCCTCCACTCACAGCCTTTCTTCATCCATCATGCTTGCCTCTGTCTCCATCCCTGCCAACATCAATGAGAAGAACCACAGCCATTGGACCTGGAGGAGAACTTGGAGATCATCTAGCCAAGAGCTATGTAGCCAGACCGGAGTCTGAGGCTGCAGTAAGCCATGATTGCACCACTGCACTCTAGCCTGGGTAACAGAGTCAGATTGACCCTGTCTCAATAAATAAATAAAAATAAAATAGTAGGAAAAAAATTTAGACCTATTAAAGTGCACCAGAATAAAGTGCATGCCTTCATAAAGCTTAGCCTCGTATGATATGAAGGGTAAATTTATCCCACTGCATTTATAAGTCAATAACGAGAACCACGGCCATTTGGAGCTGGAGGAGAACTTGGAAATCATCTAGCCAAGATATCATCTGGCCAGACCGGAGTCTGAGGCTGCAGTCAGCTGTGATTGCACAACTGCACTCTAGCCTGGCTGGCAGAGTCAGATCGACCCTGTCTCAATAAATAAATAAAAATATAATAGTAGGAAAAATTCTAATCCCGTTAATGTGCACTAGGACAAAGACATGCCTTCATAAAGCTTGGTCTCTTGTGATATGAAGGGTAAATTTATCCCACTGCGTTTATACGTCAATTTCAGGCAGCCTATAACACAACATGGGTTTCAGTTCTACAGGAACTTACACCTGTAATCCCAGCGCTTTGGGAGGTGTGCAGATTGCTTGAACCCAGGAGTTTGAGACCAGCCTGGGCAACATAGTGAGACCCAGTCTCTATGAAAAACTTAAAAATTAGCTAGGTGTGGTGGCCTGCACCTACAGTGTCAGCTATGTGAGAGGCTGAGGTGGGAAGATCCCTTGAGCCTAGGAGGTCGAGGCTGCAGTGAGCCATGATCGATCACTACACTTCAGCCTGCGTGAAAGAGCAATACCCTGTTCCCCACACCCTTAAAAAAAAAAACTGATAATGTGGGAGGACAGTGAGACCCCACCTCACCCCACCAAGGACATGGTCAAGCTATGAAAGGCAAATGCAAATTGCTAGGCAGGATGCTAGGAGGTAAACAGGGAGGGTTTGTTTAAGTTCTACAGGGATGTTGTTTACAACAGAGTGTTTTCAGAGATTGACCATCGGGTTCACACAGGTCTGAATTGAAATCCTACCTCTGCCCTAGAACAACCATATCTTTTAGCATATTGCCTGATTTGTCTAAGAAGAGAAATTGAAGGTCCAGAGAAAGAAGGTGGTCCTCGGAACCAGGATCCTGGAGCTCTGTTCACCATGCACCGTGAGCTTGCTCTCACAGCCAGCCATCTGTACGTAGGGGAGAGGAGAAGATTGAATTTGGCAGCATCCTTATGATGAAGAGCCCAGGATATTTTTTAAAACATCCAGCTGAGCCAGGTGCTGTGGCTCACACCTGTAATCCCAGCGCTTTGGGAGGTGTGCAGATTGCTTGAACCCAGGAGTTTGAGACCAGCCTGGGCAACATAGTGAGACCCAGTCTCTACGAAAAACTTAAAAATTAGCTAGGTGTGGTGGCCTGCACCTATAGTGTCAGCTATGTGAGAGGCTGAGGTGGGAAGATCCCTTGAGCCTAGGAGGTCGAGGCTGCAGTGAGCCATGATCGATCACTACACTTCAGCCTGCGTGAAAGAGCAATACCCTGTTCCCCACACCCTTAAAAAAAAAAACTGATAGTGTGGGAGGACAGTGAGACCCCACCTCACCCCACCAAGGACATGGTCAAGCTATGAAAGACAAATGCAAATTGCTAGGCAGGATGCTAGGAGGTAAACAGGGAGGGTTTGTTTAAGTGGGACGAGAGAAAGAACTCTCCCTTTCCAAAAAGAATGGAGCCAGCAAAATAGTGCGACTTGTGGGCTGTGTATTTGACCCCTCTTCACAACCCAAAATCTTCAGTAAAATAAACATGCATACTCACAAAACATGTCACGAGGAGGTTTACAGCGGAAACTAACATAGGAAACCAAGAGGATACATTTGTTCCAAGCTGTTCAGGGAAGAAACGGTGTACATGAAAACAAGAGTCCAGGGGAAGCCATTAGAATCTCAGTCCCCAGATACTGGTGAATATCTAGGGGAGAAGTTTGGGCTTCCACAGGCCATTGGAAAGTGTACATGGCCTGTGGAAGTCCAAAGGGAAACAAGAGTCCAGGGCCCAGAGGAAGCCATTAGAATCTCAGTGCCCTAGATATTAGTAAATATCAAGGGGAGGAGTTTGGACTTCCACAGGCCATTGGATTAGTGGAGGCTTGAGTCAAATATACCTAGATCTTCAAAATACAAGGATTGACATGTGGGCTTGAAGACATCTCTGGGGATGTAGCCATGAGTCTCCTGCAGTGTGGCCCACGTGAGGATGGCCCTGAAGGGTCTGGGTCATAAGGCAAAGGGGCTAACCTGGAGAATGAAAGGAGAATGGAAGGCAGAAAAGAGGCGACAAGACTGCAGCAGGACAAATATTTCGTGTAAGGGCAGGATCCCTGTGGTAGTCAATTCAGACTGCTAAAACAACACGCCACAGATTGGGTGGGTTATAATCACAGGAGAGTGTGTTGCTCACAGTTCTGGAGGCTGAAACTCTCCTGGTGCCAGCATGGTTAGGGGCTAGCGATGGCCCTTTTCTCAGTTGCAGACAGCTGTCTTCCCATTGTATCCTCACATGGTGGAAAGAGAGCTAGAGAGCTCTCCAGGATCCTTTTATAAAGGGCACTAATCCCATTCCTGAGGGTTCCATGCTCCTGGCCTAATCACCTCCCAACAGTCCCACCTCCTAATACCATCCCATTGAAGGTTAGGATTCTATTAGGTTGGTGCAAAAGTAATTGCAGTTTTGGGGATTTTAAAGTAATATGACGTGGATTTGAAGGAAAGCAAACACTCAGTTTATATTAATCCCTCTATCACTGCACTCAGGGTCAATCTGGTATGAGTGGGCAGTGTAGGAGAAGAGGAAGAGAATGCACCCCCCGTGCTCCTTCCTGATGTACCCGTCTGCGTGCTGCCCATCAACCACCTTCATGTCTCATTAATCACCTTCATAAAGGCCAGAGAGCGCCCTAGGTTCAAGGAAGCTCACATTCAAAGAAATGGCACAGCAAATAAAACTAATGTAAAAGCTATTCTCCTGTTCACTCAGGTTTCTCAAACATCGTTTATGGAACCCCAATGTATAAACCCATGGCAATACTTAACTACAGTTACTAAATTACTAACATTTCTTTTCTTGTCTTCCCCAGTGCTGGCATACCCTAGAACTGCCTCTTCTTCCAAACCCCAGCTCCAAGCACTGCCTATTGAAAACCATCCGCGTCTGTTCTTTACCTCTCTCCTCTCCCCTCTTTGTTCTAGATCAACTGAACCTCTTCAACTTCTGTGTTCATTTCTCTTCATTTTTTATCATTACCCTGATCCTTCCCAACTAAGGGGAGTCAAGGAACTGACCCAACAAGCACGAATCCTTCCTTTTCCCCCAACCTCAATTCTCAATTCTCCTAACTGCATCACAAGTGGGAACAAAGCTGGTGAAACCAGAAACCGCCCCCAGGGCTGGGGAGGAGGAGCCAATGGGCAGAACTAAATTCATTCTCAAATGAGAAGGGTAGACAAAGCCGGGGCACATCTATCATGACGTCTTATCACTGCCGCTAATGGAACATGCACTTTGTAGGGGATTGGATCTGTGGCTTATAAATTGTCCCAGGAAACTCACCAGTGCATCCTGCAGTTAACTGAGTAAAATCTCTAAGAAGCTCTCATATCCAGGTTTCTTAGTGGCTCAGTGGGCGAGGTGATCATTCTGATGTGGCTCCTTTTGCCTTCCCCAGTGGTGTGAGCAGAATGAACAATGCAGACGGCTCCACCTGCCTGAGTTACTAGTGGCCCCACTTCAGAGGCTCACTCGATATCCATTGTTGCTGAAGAATATCTGGAAAAGGAGCATGGACTCTGCTGAGAAAATCATGATCTACTCCATCAAGGAAAAGGTGGAAAAGTCCATCCGTAAGTCCCTGAGATAAGTGAGCTTAATTAAAGAGCTGGGGCCTTGTGACTCCTGGGAACTCTCTGGGCTTCCATCCTTGGAGGTAATTCCATTGATTTGAGGTCATGGCTCTCGGAAATGTGGGTTCGAGTGTGAGTGCATTGTAAATCAAATGCGCACAGAACAATGGGCTCCAGTCACATCCTGGCAAACCCTGTGAGAACTCTAGCACCAAGTTTACACAGGACGTGGCTCTGTCTCCAAGTGTTTCAGAAGTGAGTTCGGGCAGGAAAAGTTACTTCCCAGACAACTGAAGGCACTTTGTTTTTAACAGTCATACTGACCCCACACACAAAGCAAATGGGAGTAAACACCGTGGAAAATGTGTCCAGAGGATAAATTACCATTCATCATTTCTTAAATCACCGAAAGCCAGGGTCAATGTGAAACTACGCCAACTGCAATCTTTAGAACTGAAATTTGAGGATGGGAACTGAGCAGGCCCTATGATGACTTCAGTTTATTTGTTTAACTTTGTATAATTGAAATTCACATAAAGAAGTTCATGATTTATGCCCATAAACCAAGATTTCCTGGTGGGCATCAAAAGGGAACAATTCAAATTGGTAATATTCAGCTGTACAGAAATTTTTTTTTTTTTCTCCTTTGGCAAGTTTAAAAGTAAAATGATACTGCCTGGAACAGGTGCTTTAAAACAAAAGTAAAATGACTATTTAATTGTTTGTTTTTTTTTTCTGCTTTTAAATTTTTTATTCAAATTCTAAAATTACCTGAAGAGCTGGAATTAAGTTTATCAAGCGAATAAGACAAAGATTCAGTTAAAGATGACTTCTTTAAACTTTTGAAGTAATCTTAAGGTTTATTATTCATTTGGATGGGTTTGGAAGGATAAAGCAGCACCTCTGGAGATTTCTCAGTAAAAGATGGATTCTCATTGTTGAAGGAAGAGATCTATGTGGCCTTCCTTTAAGTCTATTAGCTTAGAGATTGTGAATTCTGAAGGGTTCCACTAACAACGGGATTCTGCAGGTCTTTTGCTTGCCTTCCATGTTTTCAAAAATCATTTCAAACATGTTACTAGAAAAACGTTGGAAAATGAATACATACCTCCCAAAGAGAAACTGAGTGCTGACCAAAAAAGAAATAATCACCATTATCATGGAGTGAATATATACTTTTATCATTGGGGCAAAAGGGTATGTTTGTCCTTGTTAGTCTGATTTTTTTTTCTTCCTCTAATTACAGGCTCTGTGGTCTAGGGAATAAGAGAAAACTACCAAGAATTTTATTAGAATTATTGAAATAAAAATACACAATATACTTTCAACTTACTGAATTAAATTAGTTAAGCTTCATTTTTGTCTGCAAGTGGCTGATTTCAAATTAGTGAGTTTTCTAAGTCACATGAACAGCAAGTAATATGTGAAATGAACTTAATATATGGTCTGGCTCCAGGGGCAGCCAGTGTTTCTAAACAATTCCTGTGAACTTTGGTTAAAATCTATACTGCAATGTCACATGCACTTAAAAATAGACTGACTGACTGTGTCTTGTCTTTCAGGCGACCTTGAAGGAAAAGTGAAGTGGCTGGACAATTTCCAAAAATTTAGATATCTACAGGAGATTATAGTGTGGCCACCGCTTTGGGATAGAGATAAAAGGTTTTTTGTTCCAGAGGTACGAAGAAAAGATCAATTAGGACTTATGTTCCTCTCTGGAAGTTGGGCATTCAGACAGAAATACAATCTTAGATGTCCCCATCTGTCTACTTGAAGAAGAAATCTAGTTTCTTGAACAAGAAGTAAAGCCTTCATCTGCAGGGCATTGTACGTGGGAAGGCCGAGGTCATTACGCCATTCTTATGATGGTCCTACTGAGAGCTTCTTTCATTATTTCCCATTCCCATGTCCATCTGCTGGCATTTCCAAATGTCATGAACTTTCTAGACGGAGTTGATTACCCCAGCTTTTTAAACATGTTCTCTTCCGATCACTAACAACATCTCTTGTATTTTTTTCTCTTGTTTTACAAGTGTTTGAAACACATTTTTAAAGAACACACGGCAGAAAACATCTTGTCACCAACCAACAGACACCTTCTCTATGAAGGAAAATTAACTCTTGCAGGTAAATAACTGCTTCCTTTAAAAAACCATCTGTGCTGCCTTGTAACTTGTTTGACCGCCAGTAATTGAAGAGCAGGAGGAATTGTATTTGCCCATGCTGCAGATGATGGAGGGTGTGAATCAGAGAGTATCCTATGGGGTCACACAGACTCAGGCTTGAAAGAAGACTTTACAATGTAACTAGCTAGGTGCCCTCCATTTTCTCTCTGTAATGGGATAACTGCAACTACTCCATAGGATTGTTAAAACAACATCTGTCTCTTCTAAAAGTACAAAATTAGCCAGGCCTGGTGGCACATGCCTGTAGGCCCAGCTACTCGGGAGGCTGAGGCAGGAGAATTGCTTGAACCTGAGGAGGCGGAGACTGCAGTGAGCCAAGATGGCATCATTGCACTCCAGCCTGGGCAACACGAGCAAAACTCCATCTCAAAAAAAGAACAAAAACAACATACAAGAACAACTTAGCTCACAGTCTGGAATCTAGTAAACACTCAGTCAATGGCAGCTGTTATCATCATAATCATTGTCTCCTCCAATGAGCCAGACAATCAAGCTCTCAAATGTTTATGGAGAATCTATTATATAGGACAAGTTGTGCTAGGTAGGTGCCACTGGGAGATATAAACTACATATTCTGTATAATTCTTTCCCTCTAGTTGGGAAGCTCTGCCTTATTACCAGACCTACAGGATAAGTTCAGAAAAGAAGAGAGTCCTTGAGGCGGGAGTGCCCTGGAGAGGCTACGTGCAGTCTGTAGGACTGGAGGTGGGCTTGGAGGGGCAGGAAGGATGAGGTCAGTGGAAGGACAAGAGGGAGGTCATTCAGATAAAGAGCGCAGCTGGAGAAAAGTCGTGGAGGGAGAAACCCCCGGAGAAACTCAGTTTCTAGCAGAGTACATAGGAAACCAAGCCCCTGGGCTCACCACCTGGCTCATTCCCTGCTCAGCCTTTTCTGCCTTCACAACCTTGGGCCATTTACAGTGATCTCCTGTGCTTCAGTTTACCTTTCTTTATTGTGAGGATTAAATGAACCAACAGATGTATAAGCCTCAAAAGAATGATTGACCCAAAGTTCATGCTCAATAAATATCATGATGACCAGAAAGGCTGCTTGGCTGAAATAAGATTTGCAATCATTTATTTATTCATTTTGGCACAAAATCTTGACCAGGCATCTACTGAGTGTGAAGTCCTGTGGGATGGGAGGTTGCCTAACTGTGGTGATGTGATATCTTGTGGGGAGGGACTGGGAAATAATGTCTTACTCAGTATGTGTATATTGAGACTCTGCTCTATTTTAGAGGTAGTCTGGATGTCAGGTTAGGACATAATCCCCACCTGGCAGCTGTCAAATAAGGAAGATAGACATGTCCAGTGTTTTATATCCAAGGGTTTTTCCATACATTATCTCTTTCCAGTGAGTTAAACAGAGAAGTTGCTTTTAATCCCTTGCTATAGGTGAGAGATTTGGGGCTCGAGGATGTTCTTTATCATGCCCTAGTTCACCTGGTGGGTAAATGACAGAGTACCAGCTGGAGCCAGGCTGCCTTGGTCCGGCCAGCTTCCAGAATCATAGCAACTGCCTTGGAAACCAAACAGAGGAACCCAGCCAGGAAACTGCAGGCAACCAAAAGTCATTGAGTTCTCAGACAGGGAAGTGATAAGTTAAAAGGGCATTGAAGAAAGCGTTGTTAATAAGCAATGTTCAAAATGGCATAGAGGAGACCAAAGCAGAGAGATCAGTAGTGAAACTGGAAGTTCCATGGTGAACAGGCCAAGGTGAGAACACTCTGGGCCTGGCTGCTGCTCTACTATTCTTTACCTGTGGTCCACTCACTCCCTACTTTCATTTGAAGAGATAACAATTTAAATTATTTATAACTTCGGAGTAATTATATTTTATGACAGGGTCAAATTTAAGTAATAAAGCAAAACATTATCTGTGTTGTTCAGCATGTATCTTTCCCTCCAAAATTGGCCCCACCTGAAATTATGTGAGACTTTGGTTCACTCCTTCCCTCTTCCTGCCTATCTCCCAATACTGCGAGATGCACCAGCTTCTCCTAAAACTTTAGAAATGGGCGTGATAGAAAAGGATGCGAGAGATATTGTAAAGGCAAAACCAGGAGGACTTTACGACCGATAAAGTGGATGAAGAGGAAATGAATCTAAAAGTGTTCTGATCTATGTATCTGAAAGTTTTGTTGATAATGCCATGAGTGGTGGAGGGAGTAGGTCAGAGGGTCAATTTTAGGGTTCAGGTTTGGGCATAATTAGAACCCACATGGAAGCTGGAAGAGCAGCTCCTGGTGGGTGAAAGGCTATGTCAGACGTGAATGCATGCATTACATGGGTTTGAAGTGACTGTCATAGATGTGTGGGTGGGAAGCTCATCTAAGAAAGACTTTACAAACAGACTCAACAGCAGTCAAATGCGGTAGCATTGAAATAACTATGTAATGTCACTAACACCAGGCACTTGTTTAATGGTATACGCTGCACTAGTCAAATTCCACCAGAGATGGAGACTCCATGTTGTAATTGACATGGTATCAAGTAAAGTGTAATGTCATGAGACTTTGACTCAGAGTTGAGCATAGAGATTTGACGGGGCAGGGTCACAGTGTGAGAAGAAACAGGACATTCACTTCTTGGTCTTTTGGCTAAGATCAGGTGAAGAAACAGGACATAATTTTGAATGAAAAATGCATTGAACCAAGAGTCAGGGGACCTAGCACCAATTGTAGGCTTTGGGAAAATTTAAATTCTCTTATTCTCTTGTATAATATTATTGCTGCCAATGATGACAAGGATGATGAAAATGATGTGATGAAACCTAACACATACTGCATTTCCAAATGTCTTCCAGCCTTAAAAACTATACTCCTTATAACCAAATCAGTATATTTTCTCATTCCCAGAAGGTATACATTTTTATAATTTGTTTGGTAACTTGCTTGGTGGAACACTAGGTCCTCAATAAATGGTAGCTAAAATAATTATCACTTTCTAGAATAATGTCTGGAACATTATCTAGAATGACTAGAATATGTAGAAAGTGTATTCCCTGCCTGTTTGTCAAAATAAAATAGTTGAAATTATAAGGAGAAAACAAAACTATTTCATTTTGACAATGATCATTGAGCTGACACATATATGAGTAGCAGAGGATGGAGAGAGCAAACTTTACAGGTCTGAAGGTTTCTGTGGACTGAATTGTGTCCCTCCACAAATCACATGTTGAAGCCCTAATGTCCAGTATGACTATACTTGGAATAAGGAAGAAATGCAGGTAAAATGAGGTACTCATGCTGCAACCTTGATCTGAGAGGATTAGTACCCTAACCAGAGCAGACACCAGAGAGCTCACGCTCTCTGCCACGTAAGAACACATCCAGAAGGTGGCTATCTGCAAGCCAAAAAGAGAGACTTTATCAGGAACCGAATCTACCAGCTCCTTGATCTACTTCCCAGGCTCCAGAACTGTGAGGAATAAATTCCTATGCTTAAGCCACCCTGTCTGTGGCATTTTGCTATAGCAGGCTGAGTTGGCTGTTCACAGGGCTAATACTGTCCCATCTTAGCCCTGTATATCAATTGGCATATACAGTCAGCCACTGGAGACAGACAGGTAACCATCACTTGAAAGAGATTGTTTCTTTCTCTCTTGTTAAGTCCCAAGGTATATGACAGCTCCACTCCATGAAGTCATTAGGAATCCAGATTCCTCCTGTCATATTGGCAAATCTAGGGTATTGCTTTCTTCTTTGTGGCCCCAGATGATTCACCAATATGTTTGCATTCTACCCAATAAGAAAGAGAGACAGCGATAAGAGAGCTTAGCCCTCCCCTTCACGAATATGACTCAGAAGTTGTATGCTTTGGTTCACACTCCACTGGTCAGAATTTAGCTCCTTGGTCATATTCAGCAGCAAGGAAATGTAGTCTCTATTCTCCATGGATGGGTACTCACTAAAACTTGGGGATTCCGTTGGTATAAGAGAAGGGAAGAACAGTTTGCGAGGGACAACGCAGTCTTTGCCACAACTTGATGTATGAAAAGTTAAGTTTCTAGTATGATTTTTTTAAAAACTATTCAAGGACTGTTTAATTTGAATAAAACACTTGATTTGATTTCTCTCCTATGCAAATATAGAAAAAAATCTTTTCTCTAAACTTGAGGATAGAAATGAATACTAAATGTTTCATCTACTACTTTAAAGCTTCCAGGGGTCAAAACATATGAGAAAGAACTTCTAGAACAACATACATAATATAAATAGAACAACCTGGAAAAAAATTTACTGGGTTTTTCTGTTTACTCTAAGCACTTGTCACATCCCCCTCTAAAAATCTTTTCCTCTGAAATCACTTAAATTTAACCTTTTTTTTTTTTTTTTTCTAATTTCTAAGTGACAGAGTAAATTAAGGAAGGAGATGCCTTATTCTAATATTTAGTTTCTCTTCTACTACTATTCCCTTCTTAGGAAAAACTAAAGAAAACTATTTACCTTAAGTGACTATTAAAACTAATAGAAAAGTTTGTAAATATGAAGTACATGGAGAATATCTAAACATTTATACCCAGGTTCTAAAACTTGAGAAATAAGTAGTTTTAATGACTGTCAACATAGGCCGCCATAACAAAATACCACGGTCAGGCTGGATTAAACAGCAGATATTTATGTCCTGCAGTCTGGAGGCTGAAAAGTCCCAGGTCAAGGTGATGGCAAATTCTGAGCACTCTCTTCAAGATGAGGGGTGGGGACCCGGGCGCATGGCTCATGCCTGTAATCCCAGCACTTTGGGAGGCCGAGGCAGGTGGATCACGAGGTCAAGAGATCAAGACCATCCTGGTCAACACGGTGAAACCCCGTCTGTACTAAAAATACAAAAAATTAGCTAGGCATGGTGGCACGTGCCTGTAATCCCAGCTACTCAGGAGGCTGAGGCAGGAGAATTGCTTGAACCCAGGAGGCGGAGGTTGCGGTGAGCCGAGATTGCGCCATTGCACTCCAGCCTGGGTAACAAGAGCAAAACTCCACCTCAAAAAAAAAAAAAAAAAAAAAAAATGAGGGGTGGGGGACAGGGAACTCTCTGGTGTCTCAACAGAATATTAATTCTACTGGATCAGTGCTCTAGCCTTATCACCCCATTACCCTAATTACTTTGTTACTCCAGATGCAGCCACACTAGGGGTTTAGGGCTTCAACATACGAAATCTGAGGGACACAATAGCATAGTTCATAGCAGTAAGAAAATGCCTTTTCTCTGGTTATGCGTGCCTTTGTCAATAATCACCCAGAGGAATCAAGAGGCAAAAATGCTGCAAATTCAATTAGTTGACGGATTTACCTTCAGCTTAGTTGAAGCCACTACAAATACCATCTGCATTATCTTAGATCCAAATGAGATGCATCATAAATACAATGTCTTTAAAGTTGGAAGCCTGGCCTCTCAGCAAGTCTCTGCTTTAGGAAGAAATCAATTCAAGATTGAGGCAGGCAGCTTTCTGACCTACGTGATTGGAGCCCCTGGGGTACCATAATACCCATCAAGTTTTGTTTTATAAAGAATTCATTGATTTTTTTTTAAACCCCTTCTACTTACGGTTTCAAGTCCCCATTTCAGCTTCTCTTTTTTTTCCTCAGAAAGCACAAGATTCCTAGATGCTTATCTGTTTCTCTTCAATGATTTCCTCTTAGTTACGAAAACTAAGCGCAACAAAAAGGTAAAATGTTGATATTTCAAAGTAAGTTTCTTAAGAAGTTTGCTAAATGAGTTGTAAAAATATAAAATATTCTTATACATCAAGCTGAATCTTTTCCTCTAAAGAATGAAGGCATTATAAAATACTGGCTTTTTTAGTCATAAAGGTCTGAATTTAAAAAAATAAAACCAAAAAAATGCAAGTAGCATTTCTCAAGGATGTCAAAAGAGGAATACATTTTTAGAACAACTTAATCTATATACTTGCAAGCTAAGTCCCAGAAGCCAGAGAACTTTGCCTGACCTGCCTAAGCAAAGGAACCCAAAACATCTTTGTCCATTTTGGCCCATTCCTTTTCTGAATTGGCCACCACAACAAAAACAGCCGGAGAAGGGGACTCTCTGAACTGTCTACTGTCTTGTGTCGAGGTGGTATTCAACACTCATTCTAATTTGAAAGCTCACATTATTTCTGAGAAATAATGATTTGGAGTGAAGGTAAGAGGGAAACCCAATCACTCAGTATCTACCTATATAAAAAGTGTAGAAGACAATTATATATGCAGCTGTCATCACAGACAGAGTCAACTAGGAGCTAGAGCTACAAAATCTCTACAGGGAATAGGAATTTTTTCACGTTACTTAAGTATTATGTGTTACTATTATTGTTGTTGTTATTTTTACTACCCATTAAGCCACTGGTCTGCTGCAGGTCCCCGAAAGGCTGTCTAATTTACTATTTCACAATCTGTTCCCTGAATGGTGTGTGTGAGTGGTATCAGCAGGGAAGTTTCTCTAAGGCTCTCAGACACCTGATCCAAGATGTGGGAAGAGGAATGCAATGTCCTCAACCGTCAGAGATACCTAATGTTGCTTTATTCCACTCATTTCTTTACCAAGTGACTAGCCTTACACAGATGATAAGATCATGAGACTAGCTATCTCATATCTTTTAATAAACTAAGCTTCTACATTGCATGTTGGTTAGTTGAGCTAAATCAACGATCTTTAAGTAATAAAATAGATACCCATTAATCAATCTATGAATAGTTGATCAATGGTTGGGGAAGGAATGGGTGCACGAGAATATTAAGGGTCACAGTTTCAGAATTTGTATGACCTCCTATTTTAAGTTACTCAGACTAGCATGTCTGCATAAGCCACGTTCTGAAAAATCTCTAGCCCTTTCAAAAAAACCTTGATGCTTGCATAGTTGACCCTCATGTCAAATAATGGTACAAATTAGAACATAAGAATTAATGGCAGCCCATGCTGATCATATAATAAGCTGATACTCTGATTTCATGCATTCCAAGTTGATTGCTAAAGTAAGAAATTGTATCAGTTTATATGCCTCTTTGCTATTTTATGTACAATTTATACCATGCAAGTCATACTTTTTTTTTACCCCTTTTGAAAAAAATCAGCATCTTATGTGTTCAAAATAATTTCAATTATTTATAAATTCTAGAGCATGGAATCTATTTAGAATTCAGTATTAGATCCCAGGCATACAGTTGGCCAAAGTGACGCCCCTTTTCTCATTCATCAAACTCAATAGCATAAAGAGATTAAGATACTGGGAATGAAGAACTTCCCATTGACGTGAGAGTGATTTAAATGCTTCCCAGTTAGGGATATCAACCATTATTTATTCATCAGGTAATGAAACTTGCAGATCAGAAACACTTTGCTGCTGGACACAGTGGCTCACTCTTATAATATCAGCACTTTAGGAAGCTGAGGTGGGAGGATCACTTGAGCCCAGGGGTTCCAGACTAGCCTGGGCAACATAGGGAGATCCCATCTCTACAAAAAAATTTAAAAAAACAAAAATTAGCAGACCATGGTGGTGTATGCCTGTAGTTCCAGCTACTTGTGAGGTTGAGGTGGGAAGATTGCGTGAATGTAGGAGGCTGAGGCTGCAGTGGGCTGATGGTGACAGAGTGAAACCCTGTCTCAAGAAAAAATTTTTAATAATAATAATAAAATAAACACTTTCCCACAAATCACTATGCTTTGGGGCAATGCTTTTCAATATCCAGAAAGAATAGTAAGTTAGATTTTAAGCAAGTGTTTCTCAGAATCTATTTGCTTACAGAGGCACTTTAGATAAGGGTGCCAATTATTTATTTCCTATTTATCGCATTATTTTTCTTGTTAATTTCAGAAACTTGGAGGCTCGGACTCTGGTTTCATGTGCCCTTCTCTTACTCCTGAGTTGCAAGCAGTAATAAAAGAGGGTGGTTCGTGTACAGTACTCGATCAGCCTATTCCACTAGATAGATTGGTAGTCAAAAGTATTGAACCACTCCATGTGTCAGGTACGTGTCTATTTTCATTATTCAGCTCATCTGTTTGCCATCACAGAGGTTTATGTTGGCCTTTTTTGGTAGCAGGGTACAAATCTAATTTAAGTCTTCATAAAAACAAGACTGTGTTCCTATGTGTCTATATATAATATTTTCACTCTATGAATTAGTTATAATGTCCAATGCTTGAATGATAGCTCTGTCACTTGCTAGCTGTATGACCTTAGACAAGGCACTTCAGTTTTCTAAGTGTCAGGTTCTTCTTAACAAAATAGGGGTAATAATATCTATTTCAGTGAGTTTCTGTGAGAATTAAATGAAATAATAAATGTAATGTATTCAATAAATGATAGTTGCTGCTATTGTTATTGTAGTATTAATACTATTGCTATTATTAAAACACTGAGAAACCATGACCAGATATGCAAGACTAAGATATTATAGTCTATCAAAAGCATTATGCCAGAAATATATATACTCATATATATACACACATATATAGGCATTTATCCAGATAACACATGTATCAGAAATATATATCATTTTTAATCTTTTATTCAAGCATTTTTTTTTAGTATCTCCTGAGAGCCAGGCACTCAGATGGCCTTGCAGATACAAAGATGAATAAGAAACAGCCGTTGGCCTTCGGGAGCTCTTAGAATAATGAAAGATCAGTAAATCCTCTGTCAGAAAAGCCCTGGGACCCTGAGTGACTCAAGGACATTTCATTCTACTTAGGGCTTGAGTGGGCAGCAGTGTTCAGGAGGAAGCAGACACCACTCTGCCTTGGCTAGAGGCTTCTAGACCAGCCGAGGCCAGGCAGGTGGGGACTGACTTCCTGTCTCCATGGGAGGGGCAGGAAAAAGAAAGCAGTCACCATCCCCCTCAATTCCAAACCCAGCAGCCAAACCCAGGGCTTCAGTGACTAGCATAGTACTGACCCATATATAATAAAGAAACCTTAAAGAGTGAATGAATGAATGAATGAATATGCAAATAACAATAGCAAATACTTACATAGTTATGCTACATAACTAAATTATATATTTAAATGCCAGCTGGGTGCAGTGGCTCATACCTATAAATCACAGTACTTTGGGAGGCCAAGATGGTAGGAGTGCTTGAGGCCAGGAGTCCAAGACCAGCCTGGGCAACATAGTGAGACCCAATCTCTATTAAAAAAAAAATAGTGAGGTGCAGTAGCACACACCTGTACTCACAGCTACTCAGGAAGCTAAGGCTGTAGGATGGCTTGAGCTCAGGAGTTAGAGGCTGCAGTGAGCCACTGCACTCTAGCCTGGGTGACAGAGTGAGACTCCGTCTCTGAAAATAAAAATAAATTGTAAAAATTGTAATGTCTTACATATATTAACCCATGAATTAATAGAACCTCTCTCTCCAAGAGCAGAAGGGAAGCCTGTATCCAGAAAGACAACCTCTGCCTCCTGTGTCCCTTCTATTTTCAGTAAGATTTGCTGAAAGGTAACAGGGCTGACTTTAAAGTCTCTGGTGTTTGACTTGACTGGGACCAGTCAAAGTCTATGTAGGCCAAAATCTGAAAAGCCCGAGAGTGGTTCAGGAGCAAGCCACAAAAGGAGTATGTCAAGGTTGCAAAACCCTTGCCTGGTGAGTGTGCTCACTTTCAATGTGAGCCTCTTCCCTGCCCAAGGGATGGCAGAGGAATGTAGCTAAAGCAGAGCTTCAGTATGTTGTGGCTGGAAATCACTTCCAGTCTGTGACCTGTTTAGTTTACCTTTTCATGGGGAAAAGTATCACAGCAGAGGGCAGCCTCCTGTGCTAGGAATTTATTCTTTTACTACAGTGGCTATAGTTCTAGATTGTGGCCTGATACATGGACTTGAGTAAAGGAAGGTGCCAGAACACCCATGAGGAAGAGAAAGCAGTGTAGCTAAGAGATTTAGTGTAGTCACAACCCTTCCAGCTTTAAGACTTACACTTCCTGGGAAATCTGACATCAGTGAATTACCTTGAAAGATGTTTTTTCTCCTCTATTTCATTTTTTTAAATTAAAAAATCTTTTAAAAAATACTATGCTTCTGGGGCCAGGTGGGGTGGTTCACGCCTGTAATCCCAGCACTTTTGGAGGCCGAGGCAGGCCAATTATTTGAGGTTAGGAGTTCAAGAGAAGCCTGGCCAACATGGTGAAAAAATACAAAAAATTAGCCAGGCATGGTGGCACACAGCTGTAATTCCAGCTACTCGGGAGACCGAGGCACAAGAATTGCTTAAACCCAGAAGGCAGAGGTTGCAGTGAGCCAAGGACGGACGTACCACTGCACTGCAGCCTGGGTGGTGGAGTGAGACTGTCTCAAAGAGCAAAAACGAAAACAAATACGCTTCCAGTGTTTCCACCTTTTTTATTTTCTGACTTGTATCTACCATCTCTTGTTCCTTTTAAAAATATTTTTCTCATTCCTCGGACCTATTAACTTGACTAATTAGATACATTACATGAGGCAGAGTAGCTATAGAGCTGGAAAGAGTAAATGAGAATGAGAGAGATTGAGCTCTGGAGTGACAGACCTAATTCCAAATCCTGGCTATATCATTTATAAGCTCTGTGAGCTCGGAAAAATTAATTTCTACGTTCCCTCATTTGCAAGTAGGAATTAGCTGACCTATCTTGTAGGGTTCCTATGTAGAGAAAAAACATAGCATGGTGCCCAGTACATAGAAAATGCTTTTAAAATGGTGTCAATTAATGCATTAGAATGTCAGTGAAAAAAGACCTAGTCCTGCCTATATATTATACTCTCTCCTAACTGTATTTTACAGGCCTAGCTTAGCAGGTCCTTTTATTTATAAAGTCCTTTGTACCCATACTCCAAACCAAATGGATGAAGGATGCCTGGAATAACTTAAAAGTACAGTTACAGTTTTTGAGGAAAATAATTCCAAAAACCAGCCAAGAACCACCACCTGATCTTTAAAAGCCTCATTTGCTACAGGAAATTTTTAAGGCAAAGAATTAGAGAGTAAAACAAACACAGCCAGCTTTTTTTACCCCCAGAAAGTCATTTTAATAGGTTTAAATCCTCTCACTGCAGAGAAGCTGGACAGAATTTTATGGCCTCTCATTAACAGACTTTGTTGTAGTAGAATTTAGGAATTATGATGTTTAGACTGTTAGTATAATCTGTGATACTGGGGTAGTTCTTGCAGTTAAGAAAATAAGTATTGTATTCACCTGGAATCTGAAAGAAGCCCAACCCTCCTCAGATAAGCCTGAGTTAAACTAACCCCAACCAACACAAATAGCGGCAGCAGACAAGCTTATCAGCTTAATGATTAGCAAGAATATGTCACTTGCTCACTTTCTCTTCCCTGAAGCACATAAGGGCAGGAGACAGCCCAGGCCTGTTTTTTAGTTTGTTTGTTTCTAAACATTGACTATAGAAAGAATGCATAAGCTGCAGGACTGTGTTGTATTAATAATTCAAAGTGACTTTCATTTTAAGAGCTCCTGCTATATTAAAAAAACAAAAAATCTGCTCGCCTATCTCCTGTGATTTTTTTGAGACCAGCTAGAAAACGACAGAACAGGCTTTCCTTTGCAAACACAGAAGCCATGCCAACGCCTCTTTTTGTTTTGTTTTACATTTCAGTTTGGTGGACGCTGCTTTATTTGAGTCCGTTTTTTGTTTTTTCTGGGCCTGTAGTGAAGCATTCAGGTGGTTTTGTATTTTTGCCACATCTTAGTTTGTTTATAAACCTTGTTTGGATGTGACTTCCCTTTAAATACAAAACTAAAAATTTTTAAAGGAGTGAGAAACAAAACAAAAAATATTACATTGTTTTATTTTGATTATCTGTATTTTCACACACAAAAAATATCTACCTCATATGCTTAGCTTTTCTGTGAAAAGGGGCCCATTTCCCATCACTTAAGAGGTAATTGCATTTCATCAGGTCCCAGAAGTTATTAGCTAAGGAAGAAAGGTTTTCATATTAGAATGGGCTTTATTTGAACACAGTAGTGGGGTCTTGGCACTGAAATAAATTTTTTTCAAAAAACTGTAATCTACATGAAACTCCCACCCTCATTAAAAACAAAAACAAGCCAAATAGAAAACAAACCCCAGGTTTTTGTACTAAGAAATTGTTTGGATTTCATATGAAATGATTTGGCTTTTTGTCTTTGTAATATCTTTTTCTAGTCTTTGGGCTGAGAAATGCTTTTCTCATACAACATGAAAACAGATATCGACAGTGTATAGCAGCATTCTTATTACAAGCCCAAACGGAAAACATCAAAGTATGTATTTTAATTTTGTAGGTCTTTGATTCTTCAGCGTTTACATAAAGAAAAATCTCACCCCAAGGCTCTTAAGTAACAGTGAATGGAAAGTTTTGTGTATTTCCCTCATCCACTTGGGAAGGACAGATTTGGAAGGAGGGGAGGGATACATGTAGTCCATATAATGCTCCAAAGTCTCAGTGTTGACAATTTCCTCACACTTGCAGAATTGACAAAACGACTTTTACTCCTGCTGCAGACGCTCAAGAGATGCCTGTTCTGCAGTTTCTGTAGGAAATGGGGTACGAATTGCTTTGGATTGAATGATGAACTTTTAAGATGCTCCAGTCAATTGCCAAAGTGCAAATAATAAGATATTAGCGTAAGAAGAGCCTGCTGCAATAATGATCCGTGTCAAGTCAGCCTGTCAACCGTTGAAAAATTGCCATTGTTTTTACAGCTATGGAGTTGAAAGAGCAGCTGCCTGACTCTGATTTCTCTATGTTAGAAGTTTCTATTTTTGTATTTCCCATGGTAGGCGTTCATCACGGCCACAATATGGCCAGGCAATAAATGCAATATTCCATTTCCTGGGTCACTGCCCTCAGTCTCTTTCAAATTATACCACTGGTTAAGAACTTGTTTTCACAGAGAATGGAAATGCTAGCAATGTCATTTTCAAACCACATATATTCTCAGTACTCATTTTTCTAATGAGTTATTGACTCTTATGGTTTCTTGATTACTCATTAACTGTTATCCAACTTGCATACCATACTCATTTAGCCAATTTGCATTTTCCTATATGATTAGAAGTATATTAGATGTAAGAAAGAAAATGGGAAACATATGCAAATATTTCATTAGTCTTCAGTTTTAAAGAGCTGGTCAATAAATACAGAAAATATTAGCCCAAATATGTGAGAAACTATCAGCTTAACATTCTAATCTCTATTTATTTTTTTTTCTTTTTGAACAGAAAACATGGATGGCACAAATAACAACAGCAATTTCTTGCTTTACCAAGAATCAGGAAACCAAGAAAATACCTTTATTCACATTGCCCACAGAATCCTCCGAAATTTAGGGACCTAAAACAAGTGGCATGCCTTTTTAGAAAATTAGGGTTTAAGGTATTATCCCATTCAAACTTTTGTAACATTTAGATAGTGATGAGCTACCAGGAAATGTGCATTTTAAAGAAGTTCCAGAATTTGGAAATTTGAGCTAGGAAAATCCTCAGTATAGAGGAATAATGACTGCAACAAATTTGAACCCTGCGGAATTTCTTGACAAGTATGTACTGACATCCAGATTACCTTCTAATGTTTCAGAGAGGTTCATAAGAGATGTGAGTGAAGAAAGGTGCTAATTTGTAAAAAGTCAATGATCAGATAAACAGAGTATCAGAAGGAAAACAATGTCCACCGCTTGTGTCCAATTTGCACTCCAGCATCTCACTTTGTGTGTATCTATTAAATAATGAAACCAATTTTCCTTCATGGCTTGTCAATCAATCTTACTGCTTTATAGTCCTACCTCAAACACAATGTTAATTCTTTAGATACAAAGCTTGACTATTCTTTTAATAAACAAGGAAGAAGGACTACATTTTAACAGCAATTTTAAAATTCCTATTCTCAAACTCATCTCAGGTAAACTTTATAATACTCTAACCTGGAAGTAGACCACCCCAAAGACTGAATTCCCTTACTTTAAGATGAGGATGGAAGAAAATCTGGCTTTTCCCAGTTAACACTTTTGCACAACTTTTCTTGGCCTGCTGTGAAGTGTACAGATTTTCATAGGCATAGTAAGATATCTGTCTCTTAACTTCATGTTTGGAAGAATGATGGTGTTTGCCATAAAAATACTTTCTGGTTTTGATTGGAGGTGTGTGTGTTTTGGCACAGAACAGTCACCTAAGTTTATTTGGCAGGACTTCAAATTTCTTCAGAATTTTTATTAAGGCAGTTTGAAGAATTATTATATTATCATGGCAGGATATATACTATTAACTATATTCAAGGAACTAGTTCTTAAGGTCAGAGTATTTTATCAAATGGAAGTCCACAAACTTCCATTTCAGGCTTGTACCTTTTGCAATTTGCAAAGTGGAAGTAGTAAATTTACCAAATGTGGCTGTAAGACAACTGAAGCCTTAGTTGATTTTGTTAAGCTGAAGAATGGGACAGAGAGGATGATGTTTGGGCAAGTCACATGCACCGTAATTCTTTGAGAGGGATGAAATTTCACCAGGCAAACAAGGCAGTAGAGATAAGTGCAGCAGAAAGGCTTTTGTAAAAGGCAAGCATGGTTAGCATGGAGACTAATAATCTCTTTATAATAATGTCAGACATTTAAGAAGAAGAGAAAATAAAAGGAAAATCTGGAAGGCAGTAACTATTGTTAATAAGAATAAATGAGGTAGTGGGGAAAGGCAAAGAAGGAGAGAACAGACTTCAAGCAAATTCCTAGAGATGGCATCTGGATGGGATTGAAAGCAGTTATGTCCAGGAGAAGACAATATAGGTTTATGCAAGAGAAGATTTTATAAAGAAATTTCTGGCTGAAAAAAAATTTTTAAATTAACAATCATCTTGCACATTTTCCAACCTAGGAGGGTAAGCAGTAGACTAGGATGAAGTGTCCTCTCAAATTCCTTGAGTTCCATGAAACCAGCAACCACAGATTTACCTGCATAAAGGTAGTTTTCTCCCTCTAGATCTCATTAAAGGGAGAGAAAGACTGACTAAATTAACAAAATATGTAAAACAGTTCAAGAATACACTGCACATAAACTGACATTTTATAAAGCTCACAAAATAACATGTCTAATATACAATATATTAGATGCTTGAGGATATGCACATTAAACTCTTCAGAAGATTAGCACATTAGAATGAAGTACATTTGAATGAAGAGGTTGTGCGGGGAGGAACAAAAACCATTCTAGAACCATGGTTCCCAGGAAGAAAAAATAGTGAAAAACAATGGCACATTGGGCCTTCAAAAAGGTGTATTTGGGGAGGGGAGGGAGAATAAATAAATAAATAAATAAATAATTTTTAAAGTATCTTTAAATGGTCATCTGGGTATGAAACACAGATACAAAATGAAATAAGGGATTGATTACATATTTTTTATGTTTCTTTTTAGTTTTGTTAATTCTCTATAATACTAAATGGAATGTCTAAAGCAAAATGGCATTAATAATTTCTCTTAAGATCAGAAACTTACTATTCTAAATTAAACAACATTAAAACACCACTGTCTATATCCAAGTGCAAGGTCTTAATATTCTGTAAATAAATAATGCAAAATGGTTAATATAATGTTCTCTTTTGTTAAACAGACAAAACAATTTATAGTCACAGAATACATCTAAACTTTAGAAAGAAACGTTTTTTAATATAATCTTTAAACATATTTAAAAAACAAAAGCAACAATTCAATAAGGATCCTTCCATTGTACTTTATACAGACTTAAATGGTGTCATGTACTTTATCAGTTACATTTATAATTAATAACCTTCTAATCACTGAGTTTAGAAATTGCAGTATTTACTGAACTAACCTTTCTCACAAAATAAGGCACAACTACATGATCACAAGTAGTAAACACAATACAAATAATGAACTCAAAGACTAAATGAGAAAATGTTCATGCAAAAGTATTTATAGAAGTTATGAATGTATGATCCAGTTCAAGGAATTACAGAATGTCATATACACAACTGCATCGTGTTACAATAAATTTATTACTTCTACACAGAAAGAACTTAGTGACTTCTAATTCTATTTTACACAATTTTACATAAATTTAGTAAGTTTATGCACAATATTCACATCCGCAACAATAACAAATTGATCATTAAAATTCAGGCAAAGGGCAATTAAGACACGATAACGTGTGGCACATTATAATTACAGAATACCATTAATCAAGCTATGTCTAGGAATACTATAATGGTGGCACATTTAAATCTTATGGATCAAATAATCCATGGTTTTATAGCCAAAGTGCATTTGTTTTTTTTTTTTTTTAAAAAAACTCCTCTAGTCAAACAGGTCATGAATATCAAAATATATGATCATAATTTGCTCTCCACTTAAAAGCTAACCATTTTTATGCAAATGTAAGGTTTAAAAAAAAGTGGCTTTGAAGTTCTCAAAACTACATAAAATAATCATAAAGACTTTTTAAGAGAGATGGGAAAATAAACAAATTTGGCAGTTACTATTTAACATTACTGTCAGGAAATACTAACGTAGCTAATTCCACATTAAGAGGTAGTTGAACAAAATGTTATTTGTACACTGCACTGAGGTTTTTGTGTTTGTTTCCCTCATTTTTTCTTCAAGGGAACAAATCCTATACCAGCAGCTTTGTCTACTTTCTATTAAAAAAAAGTCTGTAGGTATAGTTTATTGTACACTAACCCAGCAAGACTTGATTTTAACTTACATTCTGTGCCGGGGTTTGGAATTTACTAACGTGATGCCAATGTGTTTTGCATTAAAGCCAAGAGCTGTGCATGCCAGCTCTAACTCACTGAGAAAAAATAGTACCAGCAAACATCTAAAATGTATAGCCAATAAGTACTCCAAAGATGATTTTTTAATTAAAAGAAAAAAAATTTAATTTTTGTTTACAAAACATTTTACATTGGGGAGAGTTAGTGGCAAAAAATGTTAGGTTTCATTTATATTATCAGTATTAGTGGCCTATGGTAGGCAAATTATTCAGGATTTATGAAATGAAATTAGATAAAAATGAAAAAATCATTCAAACATCTATATATGGTTTACTTGTCGTCTTACAATTTTTTTGTGTGAATATGTTGGGGGTCAAGGGGAGACAAAGAGAAGGCCTGTAGGGCATCCAACTAGGAGATAAAGTGAACAAATATTCGAATCCAGATTTTTCATGGCATTTTATTATCTCAAAAATAAAAAACAGTAGTGCTGAACATCTGTGTTTTTCCAGCATACTTACTAAGTTATTTATATGTAAAAGTATAGAATTAAGACTATTTGGAAGGATTTATAAGTATATAAAATGCATAAATAGTTCAGTTTATATTATCCAACTATTATTTTCAATAAAGAGCCACTGTATTTCTTCATTATATTTGCTCAAGGATATATGTTTATCCAAGTCCAGGGACTTAATCGGTGTTCTTAATAGCTAATGACAACAGAGTTTACTTAAATTTTTAAAAAAATAATTAAACAAATATGTAGTGATCTCTTACAGTTTATATATGTTGTAAGTACAGCATAAATATGATAATTCCATTTCAGAATATTTGAAAGCAAATGTATACTATATTTATTATAAATGAAATATGAACTACTGTTATAAAATGATTGCACTGAATGAATGTATAACTATGTTTCTTCTCTAGAAAGATTAATAAACCAATATTAATGGCTTCTCTCTTGAGATGTTTTACAATTTTCCAAATTAATAAGACTATTCTAAATTAAAGTTTGACTCCACTGTTTAGCATACAAATAAGCTAATTCTTAACAATCCTTAAGGTGCTTAGCCATGCTGTTTCAGTTTTTATTAACTGTGGGATTCCTAAATATATTTATTTTTGGTGATACTCTATTCCCAGCTGTTAGTTACTTGAAGGGAACTTCACAATATTATTTTTGTAAAGTTATAAGTAAAACTGGGAACAGCTGATATGGAACACCAAACTTGGAACCATTTTAACTTTTAGTCAATTTTACAACTTTTAAAAATTCTTCCATATAAGGTAAAAAATAGAAAATAAAATATTTAATGTCTTCTTACCATTTTATATCTTGTTTTCACAGACAAAACCACAGCAATATTAGTTACTAGCTTTAAGATGCAAAATTATGAAACAAATATATGAAGCTGAGCTATGCTTGAAAAGGTTAAACCAAATAAAGGAAAAAAGCAGATCTATGGAAAAAGCAAATTCAGAGAGTCTGTAAAAAGCAAACTAGAGAGACAAAAATAATAGTATGTTATGAAGGCTGATCTCAAAAGACTTCTCACTTACAAGAAACCGAGAATAAGAACATTATACAATGTTTATTATTCGTCCTCCAACTGAAGGCAAGGGTAAGAAGCTTTCTAAGATTCTAAATGGACAGTATGTAAGAGTGTAAGAAAGAGACAAAGACAAAAAGAAAAATTAACCCCATTCTTTAAAATATGACCCCAGATAACCATAAGTAAGCAAACTGATTTTATAGTGGTTTTCATAAAATCCACCCAAGAGAATTTAATTAATATTGTTAAAACAAAAACCATTTTTGAATTCATGGTTACTGTATTTTAAGATAAACGGTATTTAGAACACCCAAGTAGTAAATGTAAAACATAACAATGCAACTGAGCTATGAACCTATATATAATAGAAAAAGATAGCAGGAAAGTGTTACAGTTCTGTGCATGACTTCACAAAAAGAATATTTAATATAATTAATGTGCTCTTGTGCAACAAAAACAGCAACAAGTGATATCATCCATGTACACTTTTGCACATTAAATTTAGGAGAAAGAAATAAGCTATGGAATTGCATTCTTCATTTGTGAATAATGAAATTATATTTAAAAAAATACATTGCTATTTTCTGTCCAAAGTTTATTTACATTTCATTGGCTAATTCTAAACTTGGCATGAAAGCTATTCCATGAGGCTAAATGAAAAAAAAGTAATGAAAGATGGTAAGCCCAAGTCTCACAAAAATAGAAGAGTTTTACTTGATATCCGTAACATTCCAAAATATACGAATTCCTATTTGGTCTAGTATTGTAACTAGTGTCCAAATCAAATAGTAGTCCAAGACCTCTATTAAGTATATTTATTAAAAATCTAATGTTAGTGTAATATTACTCTGAAGTCATGATAACCCATTATCCTTGCAAGTCATTGAAACATGCATCACAGACACGAACAGGCTTCTTGGAAGAAGGAGTTAAGGCATTTTTGGCTGAACATTCAGCACAGAAGATATTTCCACACTGTCGGCAGTGATGCTATAAAAAACAAAAATTAAACAATTTCAAGAATAAAAACTATACCAAAAGTATTATGAAATTACACAAATATCACCAACTACATTGTGAAGGTATATTAGCTTTCAAGTCATTGATATATTATTTAATGATATAATGTTTCAATATGTTAATTTAATCCCTTTGTTATAATTAAACTGAATGCTTCCTATTTATCAAACACTATGCTAAATATTTTACATGGAATTTATCATGGAACTCTCAAAAGAACCAGAGGAGGCATTTAAAAAGTTCTTATAAAGTATCCCTATCAAATGAAAAACTATTCCTATTTGCCAAATGTTTCAGGCATTAATGTCTTCAATAGGAATATAAACTTAAATCATAACACAATGGTACCATTTAGAATACATTTTTTAAAATCTCTGCTTTTTCTTCCTTTAAAGAACCCGATGATTAATTACTAAAACATGAGTTTAATATTGGCACACTGGTTCACAAATGATTGTTCCAGACAGTAACTAAGTTGGAAGACAAAGGCTGAATTTAAAAGTAAAACTCTAACACATATGCTAACCAGAAGCTACACTACATGAAGTTTAGTTATTTTATGCTGTTGTTAAAGTTTACTGATAAGTAGAAAATTGTTTTGTCAAATGAAGGATTGTTTTTATGGTTGAAATATTAATTAATTTTCAGTGACAAATGAAATCCAGAAACATAGTTACATGAAGAAAATTTCATTTACCCGTCTCACTGTTACTGAAAAGCCTTTCCCACAGGCCATACAGTTTTGTACTTCATTGTCTTCAGCCCACTTTCTATTCAATGCTTGTGTATGTTTGATCTGTTTTTTTTTAAAAAAAAAAGCATCAATATATTATAATATTCAACATTTTAAAGAATGCCAGAGTTCTATAAAATTTTGATACGATCCATAAATTAAAATTTAAAAAATCAGAAATACACTGGTCAGCTTCAATTGTCATAAATCTGAATGACAAAATAAAATTAATCGAATATTATTCCTGAAACATCTTGCTAAACTTTGCTGATTTCTGATCCATTCTAAACGTAATAATGAATCCTTCCTGAGGACTCTGAGAATATTCTCAGATCACTTCTTTAACACATACTGACTCATCTATTCTTTCGTATTCTTGAATTTTGTAGTTTTTTTCCCCATACTAAGAATTAGTGAATGACACGGCTTTCTAATAAATCTCTGAGGTCTCTGAAACAAGTTCTTTATTTTTATATTTCATTATCCATAAAACCTACAATACTGCTATACAGACAGTAGCTATTTGAACATATTTATAAA